AACTCTGTAGGGAGCGTCGCAAAGCTGGTACGACGCGCTCAGTGAACGACGCCAACCGCGACGGTGGAACCGCTTTACTGCTGCTGCCGCAAACCAATAGACATAACTTGTAAATATACATAACACCCATTCAGCTGTCGAAGGCTTCTCCGATCTGATAAACATCAACATCACCATACCTTAATACTAAACAATGTATCCGCGGTAACAAAAATTACCCTCACATCCGTCACACACGTCAGGCGTCTAAAACAGAGATGACCTCCTAATCAATAATCCAATATTTCACTATTGAGAAAAGTTGAGAAAATTGCAATCGTTGCTGGCTATACTTACGTTATTATAACAATATCAAATTATGATAAAAAATAAAAGTTTCAATTGGTCTGGCAAATCATGTTAATCTGGTCGTGATTATACACCAAATTAATTTCAGATAAAAGGTCATGGTGGAATAAAATCTCTCCTTGATTCCGAGATTCCGATAACATGCAAATGGCCTCCTACAGATCCAGTCCTTCTCTTGTGATTTCAGGCATACTCTTAACTATGAATAATGGCAAATCTTATTTAGTTTATATTCTAAAATAATAATTCAAATGATTGTATAAATAAAAGAGCTCAAATACAATTTAAATTTCACTGACAAAGTGCTAGAAAAGTGGCATCACGGATTTTAATGAAACTTTTTTGTGATAATTGGTGAACATTAGACACATGTCCAAACGTTCTTGCCAATGTTCCTAAGAACGATTTGATGATAAAGAGTTGTGTAGGTACTGTTTTCAAATTGTTTTCTGTTGACAAATTGGTAAAAAACCAATAATCACCATCTAAAAAGTGGAGGCTCACGCGGATAAGGGCGGATAGCGGCGAGGGTATATATAAAAAGAATCTCTTTATCATGTGTTGTACCCATGAAGGCAATAAAATAAAATTATTGTTATTATTACAGTTTTTAAAACCATTTTGACGACATTGCCCTCAAAATGGGTGGAAATACATATGATCTATGGCATAGTCCAGGTATATATATTTTTTTTTAATTGTAAATTACTTATGTATCTTAGGCAATTGTGCCATGAGGTTTTCCATGTTTAGGTGCTGATGATGCCCAAAACGTCCATGTAGTAGACAAAATTGAATAAAATATTTCAACCCCGGAGAACTGGGGATTTTTCAACATTTGGGTAAAAAGTTAGAAAAACCGAAAACGGAAAAGAAAAAGCAGTCATTTTTAACTAAATTGAAGAGGTGAAATTATTTTTTATTTAATGCCCAGTGACCCTCATAAAAGTCCATAATTCCTCTGTAATTTTACCAAAATAACAATATTAAAAAAAACGCCCCCATTAAGGTATTTTAATTTTATTTAAAATTCAGTTTCATTTTAAGCACTCTTTGTAGCCTCTCTAATACGTATTTTTTGGCAAATGATAAATGTCACTTAAAAATTCATAACTCCTCAGGATTTTATCCAATGACCATTTATTACAATCGTTTGAATGCTGTTTGAATCGTTTCCTTCCTTAAGCTTATGTCAAACAGATTTAGACTTTACGCCATTATAGGCGAAAAAAAGAAAAGAACTAAACAACAACATTCTATAACTTTTACTTTATATATCCTGCTTAAAATGATGTGCAGAGACCACATCTGTGCTCTTGCATGTATAATGTAAAATTTTAAACTCTTGTTATGTTTCCTGTGGATCGGTCAGGACGTTTCATAGTCATCCGTATTGTTGTGATTCTCGAAAATAAATCGGATTTATTTCAAGGCAATAACATTAAGATTTCTTATTACATTTATGTTTGATATTTACAACTAAAAATATCGAATTAAGTAAATATATTCGTATATGCTGAATTTGTCGTTTAAATTTGCCTAATGACAATACTCCTTCACACTTTCGCTTCAATCGTCTTGATCAATTTTCTGGTAGATATAAAAATGATAACTGTCATATAGTAAATTATTGTGGATGCTTAGTGATGGATGAAAATTTTACATCAGGTTTTGATGAGGCCACGTACAAAAAAGATGCATAGGTCGTTATAAAATAGTATGATTTGAAACACAAGAATGAGCTTTTACAATTTACGTAAAAATTTACACTGAATTGATTAGAGCCGTTTGAAATTAAAATACTTGGTTTAGCTCCACATTTCACAACTATAAGGCCAGAGATGTCTTATCATTGTATGTAAATTAAAAGTGTGTTGGTCTAATTTGGATCGTGAGTCTAGTAGTCTTTTTAATAATTCACTAGTTTTCGTGTTCCGCTTGACTAATTAATATCTTTCAATTAATTAAGGTTTTTAATTGAGATAAAATGTCAGTGTCACGAGCGGAATTCGAACTCACGATCTTCGGCTAGATACGCCGCTGCTCTACCACTTGAGCTTTGAAAAATGACAAAACGTTGGGGTTGAGATGGGAAGTTAGTGTCCGGGTGGATCGAGGTTACGATAGCTCAAGTGGTAGCGCAGTGGCGTATCCGAAAGTCGTGGGTTCGAATCCCGCTCGTGACACTGACTTTTTTATCTCAACTAAAAACCTTAATTAACTTTTTAATAATTTATAACGTCCGTTTGTTTCTTGACTTTTCAGTCTTGAGTAGAGATTCAAGTAAGTAGTTTATCCACGAAAAGTCCAAGATAACCCACAAGGCAGGTAATAGGGTTCCATTTGTACTCAATGGACGACAGATAATTTTACGCAGAGTAAAATTTCTCTGTACGCGTTGCGTAAGGTTTGGTTTCATTCTCCATTGTGTGAGCCATACTGTTACTTCATTTAGGTGTTGCTATAGGTGTTGGGTATTTATGGAGGGATCCGAATAACGTGTATGTATTAGCGAATTTATGTGTTGAAATGTTAACTTGTGCAGAAATATCCGTAGTGTATGTTGAAAATAGATATGGAACCGAGTCACACCCGCTCTAATGAGTACATAAGGTGGGAATTCAGTTCCCTGACGGACCGGGTAAAATCGGTCCGTCAGATATGATCTCAGTATGAGGTAGTACGTATCAGGAAATATTCTTCAGTTTCCAAAGCAAGCCAGAGTGCTCCATCGAAAGCCTGTTCTAAATCAATAATGACACCCAAGCGATGCTGTTTTTGTTCAAGGGAAAAGAGGTTATTGCCAGCAACACGATGCAGCTGTTGATTTGTCGAATGAAATAACCGAGATCCATACTGACGATCGGGAATAATATTAGAAGTTTCAATTATCGGCAATAATTTTCGGAAAAGTAGTTTTTCTATAATTTTGGCGGGCATGAGATAATTGAGCTGAGAGGAACTAGGACGATCAGAACTTTGTTCTAAGTTTTTTTGGGTGCAAAAGATGAATTTTAATTTACTCTGATAGGTGACTCGGATACTACTAAAAAGTTAGTTGACACCTTGCTGTAATAATATGGGTATCGTCGATATTATTTCATAAGTGGTGAGCGAAAGAAACCCTTCATACAAATGTTTAGAAAACTCAATAAATAAAATTTTGTTCTTATTTTTTTTGCCTTCCAGTCGCCTGAACTAATATTTTTCGACCTTGTAACACCAAAAAATTTCAAATTAAAATCTCTAATCCCAAGATCAAAGCCTCGACTTGACTAGTTTTTCCTCCACAAAAATATTACGTACCAACCTCAAATAATTAAATAGAAAAGTAAAGTTAGTTAGCTTTGTATTTCTAGTTAGTTTTCTAAGTAATTAATTTTTTGCCTTCCAGAAAACAGTCAATATTCCAGTGAAAACGATTTATGTTGTCCATCTGGTGTGCTGTTTTAGGTATTTATGTTATCTATTTTCTCCATTAGTCCTTCTAAATGAAATATTAAAACACATTACGTACAACAATATTTGAAAAATAAATTTAAAAAATCTTGTAAGTTAATTTATTTATAAAAAAACAATATATACAAATAAAACAAAGACTTAGCAGTTAAATTAGACAATTGGAACAGGACGGTAAAACAAAATATTTTCAATAGTACTTATATCAAATAACAATAAGAGTTTTCCTACTACCCAATACCTTAAAAATATAACAAGAATTGCCAACATGGTAAATGCAGTTTCTCAGGAAGCAATAAATTCAAAAAAGTTCAAAAACAAGTATAGACTTATTACAATATCACTAAATAAAAACTAACTTCAAATAAAACCTGTTGCTTCATGAAAAAATAGCTCAAAAAGATGGCTCCCAAAAGAGAACTAAATGTAAAATTTAATATGTATGTAACGTAAAATTACATCTATTAAAAATCTGGTTTAAAAATGTGCAAAGTTCAGCATTTTATCCAGTAAAGTTTTTATTAGGTAAAAATATATCTAATTGCACAATGTTTAAACCATTTACATGGTAAAACATTGAATTATGATAAAAATGATCAAAACCACTTTATCCATAGTGAAAAATTATTCACTTTTGAATTTACGAAATCTCAGTTTATCATTTTGTATAATTGCAAAAAAATTGAACAAAATCTGACAAATAATGTGTTCAGGTTTAGAATATGTTTCATGATATTCTAATTTTTATGATCGTCAGGAAGAAAATGTATTGCAAATTGCCTCCACGCGAAATTTTTGTAGTCGTAAAACACGAAATAAATCAACCTGCGGCGAAGTTGGGCAGGTTGCGTGGGCAGCAGAACCTGGCAAAACAATCCAACGGAAAAAAGTCAACAAAAACAACTGAGCAATCGGAAAAAGTGAAGCTTGGTCGACCTGATCAAAAATTGATCACCTCCGAAACATTCTCTAGTTGATTTTCTCCCTGTTATTTTTGGAAAAAAATATAAGAACGGTAAAGTACGTCTACCCTGAATTTTCTTTTGTCACTGTACAATTTGATCAAATTGAAAATTGACATTTCATACTTTTTCCTGCATGTTTAATACACACTTCATGTCATCGATTTTTAAAAGATAAGGTAGTAGTAGATAAGGGTATTTCAATTTCAGTTCCGCTCCAATTGCTTTTGTTCTTTCAAACCCACAGTTTTGGTCTTAGATCGGGTGAAAAATGCTTTCTTCGAACAACTGACGTGCCTTAGGATCCCAAGACATTTTATGGTGGTTGTGGAAGTTCTGGTGATCTTTGTCGGGCACGAAATCCGCCAGCCTCAGGGTCCAAGTGACAGCCGTGAATGTGACAGCGTTCGTCGGAAATGACCTGATGAGCGTCGGGGTGAGTCCTCGGAAGAGAAAAGCGTATCCTTCGGCGCGGACGCTCTTCACAAGACAATCCAAGGCACTGGTGTACCTCGCCGACCCGACACCACCGTCCGCCTGGAACCTAGTTTTCACCACGTCGACTGGATAGACCACAATCCAGGAAATCATACCTGCGAGACCGCCGGAAATCATCATCTTCCACGTCGGGGCGTCATCTTCGCCTGCTAATAACTGAAAAAAAAAAAACACAAAAATTCATGCTTTGCTGTTAGGCATACTTTAAAAACATTAATTTATTTATGAAATCTTTTTGTTTTTAATTCAGTTTCACTGCAGAAAAGACGGTCAGAGAATAAAAGTAGCCATTATAGACATAGCTAATGTCTGAAATCCCCACAGGACATTTAATTAAAATTAAATTAAATTAATAAGTTAAAAGAAAACTTAAAATTTGAAAAAAAAATTTTAATATACAATTAATAAACAACATTCGTCATTCTGACGAACCTTAAAAAATTTTGATTCAGGAATATAATTTACTGTTTGGTTTACTTGTAAACCTTTTATGGATCTGACGTATCTGAAATGCGTTTTTACTTTGATTGTTATTTAACTACATTTAGTAAAATTGGATCAATAAAAAAAATATAGTCATTATGAATGAGATTATTACTGCTTACTACTGCCCTCAGTATATACAACGTTATTAATCATCCATTTACATTTTCATAGTCAATTAATTATTCTCTCTATGTAAGGTCTTTCGAGATAAAAAAAGTCAGTGTCGCGAGCGGGATTCGAACATGGCAAAAAGAGGGAAAATTTGAACGGTTGGAGGTTGAGATAGAGAGTTGGTGTCCGAGACGATCGAAGTCAGGATAGCTCAAGTGTATTTAGCCGAAGGTCGTGGGTTCGAATCCCACTCGTGACACTGACTTTTTTATCTCATCAACCAAGACCTTACATAGAAAGAATAATTAGCTATTAATCATGTTTAACAGTAAACTTTTGATTTTCAAACTTTTCTATCACGATTAAAACTGAAAAAGCCATATAAATAAAAAACATGGAAACAAAATTTAAACAACCTTCGTTGTGATTCCTTTTTAAAGGTGTTCAATTTGCCAACATTTCTGTATTAAATTTTGCACTAATATATTTTTTGTCAGTACACAAAAAATCTTACCTGTAATTATGAACTGCTGCACAATCACTATCTGCATAAAACATATGCACTGTACGTATCTATTTTCTTTTAGTAGGTACTGTCATTTTTTGGTATGTATTTAAGCTCTAAAATATATTAGCACCCATTGGTTTTGACTATTTGAGAAAAATAAAAAATGTCTGACAAACATTATATTATTCAAAATAAGAAATACCCTCTTAAACAGCGATAGTTTATCTACTATAATGATATTAAAAAGGACAATAACATTTTTTTTAAGTTGAATTTCAATTTTTTTAAATAAACAATAAATATTTTGTCCAATTTTATCAGTAATGATTCCTTTTATTTCAACCATACTTCACCTTTTTAATGCGGAGCGTAAAAATGGAATTAATCTTTAAATTTCCATTACGTACTCCAGCAAGAACAGGCGACCCAGTGATGATTGAATTTGACAAATCTCCAGTCAACAGTTCATCGATTAGCTTAAATCGAAATTGAAATTTCGTGATTTATATTTAAACCAGTAAGCATGTCGTTTTCAAAAAATTTACGATGTATACGCTCCAAAATTAATCCATTTGATGGCACCATCAGGCACAAAATACGTGGACTTCTTGTATTGTTTTGGGCCGTGGTCGTCTACTTGATTTTCTACAAAAGTCAGAGATCTTGTTACTCTCTGACCTGTACTTTTTTCGACGTTCTTATCATCCTTATAATATTCTAACTCAAATTTACCTGATAGGTACAGAAGTACGCGCCGTAAGCCGGCCCTTCCCTCAGGGTCGTGATGCCGTACCCCTTGAAGATCCCACGAAGTCCGTCTGTTTTGAGCACCTTGGTAAAGCAGTTCAAAGACCCGCTGTACTCTCTGCCTTTCTGGATTTGGAGTCTCGTCTTGACCAGCTCGACCGGGCAGGTGATGAAGCACTGAAGCGAACCAGCTCCGAACCCAGCCCAGAAATGCGTTTTGGGACTTTCATCGCCCATGTTTCTGTGGATGGCACCATACGCGCCAAACACCGTGGCGTTCACGAGCGCCACACCTCCTAAAGGTGACGTGACTCCTTTCAAAAGTCCTCGAATCTACAACATTAATTAATTCCTCGTGAATAATTTGATCCAAGTTGTGAAATGTTATAAGTTAATCAATATTGACATGAACATAAGATTCAGTTTGGTCCATGGTCTGATGTCCTTGTTTTTGAGCTTATACTTAGTTTATAATTGAAACCAACCAGGACTGGCAGATAAAGAAATCAGATAAGTACAGACTACAGGTTTGCCACCTGAACTATCAATCTTACAAGTCAGCGTAAAACATAAACTTTCATCAATAAAGAGCAACATAAGAAAAAATTTTAAACTGAAGCTAAAGCTCAACAAGGTATCATCATCGAAATTTCATCTAACCCAAGCAAAAACCTCAAAAAACATTTAAAAATATTAAAAAATTATCAATAGAGATATTAGTGTCATAAATAAAAAACCTGCAAAAAGCCAAATAATTTGTCAACAAAAGTACAATTTATATTACAATTTAAACAATTTTAAAAAATTCGTCGAATTTCAGTATATAATTTATACACTTTTAATTTTCTATATTCAATGTACTAATAAGTAAAACTTTAGGGACGATAGTTTGAAATATTATTGCTACTTCATCATAAAATGGATTACATGTGGTACAATAAACGCGGAAATTGGACACGAACATTCGGAAATTTAAGATTGATTAAATGGTTGATCAGTATCATAAATTATGATCTGCGAAAAGATTATCGTCCGACCTTTTGCTTATCCGTGACCTCTAGAACACACCCTGACCGAATGGTACAGCATTCATTTACGTCGTCAGCGTTCTCCATTCAAGATTAGGAAATGACCCAACCCCCATAGTAACGTAGTCATGATGTCATATCACCATTACCACAAATGAAATTGATGCGTGACTGAAATTTGAAGAAAAAAAAAGAGTTGTCGAGGCCAATGTTTTTGTCAAAAACCATTAGAAAATTGATCTTCAAGAAAACTTTCTGTTTAACTCAGATAATAAAGAATAAATATTATGACCTAGTCCATAAATTATCTACATGAAATATCAGAGTGAATATAATGTTGCTATAGGTCTTTAAAAAGTAAAATAACCTTGATCACATTTTTTGTTATAATAAAAACAAACGGATTAATCATTTATGACGAAAAATAACTTTTACTGCAAATACACAACAAAAATCAATAAAATTTTGTCATCATTTTGCCTGTGATCATTTCAATTCGATGATTTAACTACAAAATATATATGTATCAGGAAAAACTGAATATACGATACTGTCCATATTGTTTTGAAATTTTGAAAAAAAAAAATAAAACGAATATTTTGAATGTATGATATGCATGTTATCATTAACGCTTCGGATTTTAACTAGAAAATAGATATTTGTCAGGAAGAACTGTATATATGATTCGGTGTTTCTTGTGTTCAAGCAATTTTTTTCCAAACAAGTCAATCGTTGATTATGCAAAAAAAACAGAATCAAATTTTTAGAAGAATCTAATAATGATATCTTTCACTCAAACGTTTCGCCTTCCTAAGGCTTCTGATTTTGTAAAAACTCAAAACCAAACAAAAATAGAGTTATTGTTGAAATCATTCAACCGATTTACAAAAACCATTACAAGAATTTGGATTTATAAAGAAGCCTGAAGGATTCAGCTTTTGGGATCTAGTGAAAACACGTAAGCTTAACTTTTTTAACCTTGTATTGGATGGATTAGGATTTGGATTTGTATAGGCTCAAATCCGCATATGCACGTTCATACATACATACATGTGCCGGTGGTCTATTCGCTTCTCGTAGTCCACCGGCGATTCCAGTTTTAGCTATTTAAGTGAACTGTCGGCAGATTCGAGAATAACCCACCCCGGGTGTAAGCAGACCGCAGGCAGGCCTTATCCGTCCAGACGGGTCGTCCAGGTTGGGCTCCAGGGGCTATCAACAGCTACAGCAATCCATCATCCAACGCATGCAGTTCCAAACCCATTCATACTAACGTTCATTCTTAAATTCCTATTTTCATACCAGTTATTCAATTAGGATGGTGAAGTCTAATTCCTCCATCACCCTTTACAAATACTGAACAATTACCTAAGCGTCGATGGAGCACTCGATTTTCCGCCATCGACCTCTCACGTCACACAATCATGTTGATAAATACATTCACTATCAACACAAACTACAAGGGTTGAACATCCTACAACAATTATAGGAAACCTGATCTCTGTAAATCTTAAGAAATGTTAAATCACACGACTACGAAGTTGCGACTTTTTATTTTTTCTTAAGAAATCTGAAACTCTTACAGTTATGAACTCATGCTGAATTATACTTCGGAAATTTTGATTCCTTGATTATAATTGAAGCATATTTATATGAAGATAACCCTCAAAAACAAAATACCGGACACTCGCATTTTGTTGTTTATTTCAAACTTTTATGGTTATATTATTTACTACAGACATATTTTAATGTAAACCGAATTAAATGAGAGCAGAAATTCATGAGTTTTAATTATATATAAAAAAATTTGGTATGAAAAAAATTCATCAAAAACTTGAAAAATCATTTAGTGATACATTAAAATTTAATTAACGATTTATTGCCTACTTTTGCTTTTAATAACGCGTATTACCTCTTCTAGGCATCGGGTGAATAAACGACCGATTTCCTCTTGTGAAACAGAATTGAAACCAAAAAGAGCGGTTTGAAGTTGTTCAAGGATTGATTGTTGGAGGCACCGAACGATGTCTCGACTCTTTATCACGTTCAATCAGTGCTCTATAAGATTCAGGTTAGGAGAACGTAGTGGCCAATTCTTTGTGATAATCTTACATCCTACAAGTAGGTGACAACTCGAACTACATGCGGTCGAGCATTATCATGCATTAAAACAAAGTTACTCTCAATAAATGGTGCGAATGGGACCACAGCTTCCAAGAGAAGTTCTTCAACATACCTTAGTGCAGTCAAACATCCATCCACTGTACAAGTACGGAAATGGTCGTTGATTCTACCGCATATCATAGCCGACTCTTTGAAAAGCTGTGACTCATACATGGCACATAAAGCAAAGCGTCCTCCACGTTTCCACACACAGTCCCGGTTAACTGATTGCCACAAACCAAATCGATACTCATCTGTGAAGAGAATTGTTTGTGTCTAACAGAGGCTAACTGGCGAATAGTCGTCCTTCTACACGTTGACTCTCCAGTAGTAGAGAACCTGATGCGAGACAAGGCTATTCTCACTATTACTTCTGATGATTTTTGCCTACCTATCTGCCTGTTGAGTACCTAGCAAGGAAGCCGTTAAGGCTAATAAAAAGATCGTCCCTAGCCGTCGTCCTTCCCGGTCGATCACTACCTTTTCTTCGAACGAGACATCCCGTGGCCCTAAACCGCTCTAGACTCTCGTGGATGGTAGAGTGCGGAACATCCAGAACTGGGGCTATGCAACAGACGATATGTCTGTCGTTGTCCAAAGCCTCTGCCCGGGCGAGATCTTCTCGACTTAAAACCATGGTTTAAAAAAAATAAATAAAAATTTATAAAAGAAAACAATGAAAAAATTAAGTTAGCTCTGAAAAGGATGAAACTGAAATAATATTTTATTATTTTTAGTCTAAAGAGTGTAAAAAAATTAATAACACTCTATAAAGGTAAAGAACAAGTTATTAACGTTGGTTTACGTTTTAGGACAACTATTAATTTTTATGCCTAGTTATTATAGAAAATAAACAAATGAATGAAGTGTCCGGTTGTTGTGCCTTTGAGCGTATAATAATTATTATAATTTAATGTTTTACTGTTATTTTTTTTAAGTTTTGTTTACGATAAAAATAATTCCATAAGCCACAGTTTGTTCACACATCTACAGCTTTTACGCCATGTCAAGCCACGTTACTGCAAGAAAGAAAACATTGCCGTCAATTCGATAAGAAAAGGTCATAAACAATGGCCCTCGTTAAAGAAAGTTATTGCGTAAAAGAACGTTATAGAAATACCTTCTTGTGTAATACCAAAACGCAGGGACAAAAATGATTAGAACAATAGATAGAGTTAATTTTAAACATACTCCTTCCGTCTTGAGGACCGAAGTCATGCAGTGCCACGCTCCCCTGTAGACTGGATTTCTTGCATTTTGAGTCTGTAGTTTAACCTGAAATAATCACGCTTTAACCGAAAATTTTCTAACTTTATTGAAACTTTAAGAAAAAAAAATTATTGAAAAGAACAAATCATCAGTAAATTTTGTTCGTTCATATTTACAGTTTTAAAATCTTATCTATCACAAAGGGGATCGGCATTTATCTTCTTTTATTGTATGAAGTAAAATATTTTTTTTAAGAAGATTAGATTTAAATAATTGAAACAAATGTACACTTAGAGTTCTGGTTGAATTTGTTTAAATTTTTAACAAATTTTATCGTAAATAAATTAACCAATTTAATGGTTTTTCAGTGGTATTATACTTGAAAACCCATTTTTCAAAAAAGAGATTATTTTGCCTTATTTAAGAAGAATAAATTTTTTTTAAAAATGTTAGAAAAAATACTGCTCTTTAATAAAAATAGTGAAGCGTTCATTTTTTAAAATATAAATATCAGCGCTGAAGATTCACATTAATCTTAACAAATCCAAATTTTAAAACATTATTCATATTAAATAAATAGCATTAATGTACATTTAAAATTATCAAACCTACCTTTATTGTGTCTAAAGGATGTCCCACAATGACGCCTGCACAACCTAACATAAATAAATTCAAATTAATAATGATTTAAATAGATCAACAAACTTTTCGGACTTACCTCCGATGCATCCCGCTACGAAGTCCAGGGCCATTTTTCAGTAGTACATTGATACAACAATTGTAGGCGGAGATTTGTCGGATGGGTAACGTAGTGCTGGTAGTATGGACGGCCTCCTGGTCTCCAAGAGCCTTTCATAAAATAGATGGAAAAAATGAAGCGATACAATCACTCCGAATCTGTTTTCACAACGCTTACCACATGATCACTCTAAAAGTACAAGGTTGGACGTCTTTCGTTCGAGATCCTCTCTGGTCGAAGGATGCGTGAACATTGGTTTAGTCATACGATAGGAGTTGAAAATATTTCCTTTTATCAATTAAAGGTCAACAGCATGACATGAATTATCTCGAGATTTCGATTCTTTATCCGTTTTTTAAGATAGATACAAGGAGTTCAGTTGCGAAAGATGCAAAAGCGTACATATTAATAGAACAAAAAAGCACTTTAGTAAAAAACATAAAAATTTATGTCTTATCTCAATCTTCTGCTTATGCAAAAATTTTAATACATACTCATTTTTAAAAATCATAATACACATAAAAAAACTATTTTTAAATACAATCAAATTAAAGTAATATTAACTCGTTGAAAATTAGTAGTACTACGACAAATAAAGATAAGAAAAACTAACGATTTTTAAAAGTTATATTGTGTAAGAAAAATGGTTAAACCAAATACAAAAACACCGTAAAATGCGTCTTAAGACTATCAGCACTAATGTCCGGTTAAGCAATCTCCCCTGTAAGGTTGTTTGAAACAAACAAAAAATAATTTTATCTAAATTAAGGTTTCATATTGTTAACAATATTCTTGTTTTAGGCAATTCTTTTTTTCCCATTTTTTCTTATTCTTGTTACAGTAATGATGGTTCATTTTTTCAAACATAAGCTTTTTTGTTCAAATACTCTAACAACCATCACCGAGTTGCCGAAATAATTCAATATTAAAGTATCAGTTAATTGAAAAAACGTAATAAAATGAAATAAAATGAGCCCAATTGACTGAACAATGTCTAACAGAAATTAGATCCAATAAATGTTATAGTATAGGGCAAATACGGCAAGGGCTTTTGTAACGTTTTAAAAATTTTATTTTTATTATTTTTTTGCAATTATATATATATATATACTCAATTAATTATACCTTTTTTAAAGGAAAAATTCGTATCACAGCCGTGATTCGAACCCACTATCTTTAGATCTATACTCCGATACTCAAACCACTTGACTTAGATCGCCCATGCCACTAACTTATCATTCGTTCTAACGTAAGCTCTAACATAAACAAAAAGCAGTTTCATATAGAAGAAGAAATTTTAATTAAAGATTGTATTATATTAGCGCGATTGTGCACGATCCACAGATGTGAGAGGTTGAAGTCAATGTAGTTCAAGTGGTTGAGTATTGGAGTATAGATCCCGAGATCGTGGGTTCGAATCCCGCCTTTGAAACAAATTTTTCATTTCGAAAAATCTTGTATAATTAATTGAACACCAATAAGGTATTTTTCTTTTTATCTAAAATATTACATTTTAAGGGGATTTTCGGGTGGATGCAGAAGACAGTTGTTTCCGACACTGCAACCTAATGAGGTCATTGTGGAACCGCTGTAGCTTTTAGCGTGATCTTCCTTATAAAATTGAGCACTTTCCTTGGCTTCACTTCGTAGATTTCCTTTGGCATGAAAGATGTCCGACAGAAATGGCTGAGCCGTAAACATGGTAACGCATTACATTCACGAAGAACGTGTGTCGATGTCTTTAGTCCCTCCTGACAAGGACGCCATGTTTCCGCATCAACTTTGCCCATCTCCTTAAGATGATAGTTAAGAGGGTACAGAGCTATAATTCTTCTCAAAGGTTTTCCTTTGCCGACGCCACTTTGATGCTCTTGCTGGTTGCTTTTGTCAGTGAATTCAGGTTCAGAAGTTAATTTCATTTTCTTCAGGAGTCGACTTTATTCCTTCGGGACAGCTGAAGGAAGACTTTTTAATAGCTTCTTTTCCTCCTCGATGTTTGCGTTGCTTTTTGTTTTTCTTGCTGGATCCCACGAGAAGCTAGAAATCAAAGAGCCCCGCGAGGGAAGGCTATGGTATAAACCGGAGGTCGCCTGGTAGCCGAAGTTCGTTTGAAGGTCTAAACTTATCTCTAACCTTGCTGCCCTCGGCTAAGCTGTTCAACCTTGGCTTGGGAGATAAGGTTAAGTTGAGATAAGAAAAGGATAGAAGGTGTGTATGTTTATGTAGGATATATTTGCCCTTTCGCCAATTGATCCTTTTGGTCTTTGATCAGATTTATCCTCCCACTGACCAGCGGACTCCTGGGATGCGCGGTTGGAATTTTGCCACCAAACATATTGCTTAAAAATAAAGGTTCTGCCACAAAATTATTCAAAATAATAAATTAATTATTCTTGTACAAAAGAAGGTTTTTCAAAATTGGACATATATTTTGTAGAAAAATTAAACATAACTATAACTAAAATATATAAGTTATAACTTTAAAAAAAATAAAACGTCAACCTATCTTCATTGTAAATATCTAAAAATTCATCGTCAGCTTAATACAATTACCCACATTATCAAAAGAAATATATTTTATTATACGCAGTTTAATACGAAAATTAATAAGGAATTAATGAGAAACCAACAATTTTAAATTTAAGTACAAATAGTTAATAATAACTTAATATTTTAAGTTTCTTTTAGCTTAGAGTTTCCTAAGAAAAATGCCAATTATCATATAGAAGTATTAACAAAACCTAAACTGACCACTCAATAAACTTGGTTGCTATTGTGCCTTATCACAAGCACATTGGAGAAATCTCCCCATGTGATTTGGAAATTCAGCATTTTTATTTCGATATAATCCAGGATTTATCATACATTTCTAGTAGCATATTCCCCGTACAACCCCCAAGGTCAATTATCCTTTGTAGTTAGATATTAAATGTAAATTATTCGCAAGATAAGGCATGATTCCCCACAATGAACTATGTGACCTTTTCATGTGTTAATCAATCTTTTACTAAGGTTTTTTGTCATGTTTAAGTGGGTTTTTTCTTCTATTTTTCAAGAATTCACACCCTGTAAAATATGTACGCCAATATTTGTGCAATATTTAAACGAGTGCCCTTTGCTTGTTACGTTAACGTGATTATAATAATGATGCCACAACTACAAAGGAAGTCCAATTTGGTATTCAGTTATAATGTCTGAATTTTCCTACCTCAAGTTCGAGAACAATACATTTCAAGGTCTAGTTTGTTTATAAATTACTAATTATCTTTTAATATAATTACATTAGTTGAAAGCACATTTACCATTTCTTGTTCAGCACAAAGCGTGATAGTTTTTTTTATTTTATTTTTTATTTGAATTATTTCCAAATCTGTCGATTGTATTAAAACAATTTGTTTTCATTCTACACTTTTTCTTTTAAAAACATCTATATGTCCACATTTCAAGAATTTGATGAATAAAAAAATGTTTATTTAGGTTGACTAATAATGTCTTGTGTATATTTTCAAAAATTATTTTTGTAAAATTTCTGAAAATTAGTAGTGGTGAAATCAACTTAACGTATGTAAAAAATTATTGAGATGATAATGCTATTGAGTTAGATCTTAACAGTCACACAGGAAAATACGCTTCCAATTAAAAAAAAATGACTTTTAATGGTGTAAGCAACAAACTTTTTAAAAAATCGTAATTTATCTACTAGGTTTTATGAGCTCGAGCCAAAAAGAAATTTTCCTTTTTGAGGAACTTCGTTGAAAGCTCGTCCAAATAGTGTCCACACGTACAATTATTAATTATTAAACATTTAAGCAGCACAGAACATGCATATTTTTTATTATAATTCTTTCTCTCACAATGTTTTAGCCGAAATTTAATTTAAGTTTGTTGAAAGAAAAACAGCTCAAAATTGTATATAAAATGTGAGGTGTTCAGTATCCGTTAATTAATGATTATTAATTTTATTTTCACATCTTATATGTATTTGTATAATTTAAACAATGTTTCTAAGTCCCAAGCTCTGAAGATGATCTTAATAAAGATCGAAACGTTGGTACGATAAATAAAATGATTTTCTAAACCTGCATCACACCAGACCGCATATGACGATCTCTAAATTTATGCAAAATGTTAAATTGTTGATGATCAAAAACATATATTAGACAGACCGAATAAAAAATTACTGTCCATGAAAAAAGAAAAAATCTGCTTCTTACCTCTCCCCGCTTATAAAACTGATATACTCGGACTTTTCATTGTTTATATTGGCGAAAAACATTACTTAAGTAAACATTTTTTTCTCATATTTATCAATTGTTATTGCAATTATATATATAAATGATAAATTGTTATTAATCAAAAACCTACATCTCAGAAAAGGGAAAAGCCAGCTTCCCACCTCTCCCTGCTTATAACTCTGATACTAATAACTTTAATAAACTAAACATTTCTTTTTTTATACAATCTTGTGTTCTAGCTAGAAGAGAAAACTGCAGTTCGGGAAAAACAGAAAAGTCAGCTTTTTGCATCTCCCTACTTATAACCCTGATTTGCTCGGACTTTTCATTATTTACACTGACTAAAAACCTTTTTAAACTAAACAATATTTTCGCTTTTATACGATTTTGTGTTGCATCTAGTTATACGGGAAAAAAATTGCGGTTAAAAAAAAGAGAAATATCAACTTATTACCTCCCCCTGGTTATATCCTTGATATACTCGGACTTTTCATTGTTTACATTGGCTAAAGCCTTTTCTTTTATATCAAGTGTTGTTGCAACATGGTATATATATAAAATATTAAATTGATGATGATCAAAAGTAATTTACAAACAGGCTGTACGTCTTTCGTTAGTTAAGACAGGCTTGCTACTATGAATTGTCGTCTTAAGGTTACATTACACCTGAGATCGACATCTTATATTAGGTGTAATAAAACACGCCTAGAAGAAAAACAAATGTTGAAGGGATTCAGTCATATCTATCAAATGATCTATTAATCTCCTCCAAGATAGTACTAACAAGTACAAGAGAGTACAAGAGATGATATCATCGACAAGATTGAAACTGGAGTATTGTAGAGATGCAGGTTAGGTCCGCATTTGTTTACTATATTTACCCTCAAATGACTTTTTTATTTTTTTTGCGATTGACCATCTCCAGTAAAGCGAATGAACAGTTTCAAGGGATTTAGGAAGAATTTGAACAATGGAGGATTAAAATCATAAGATACATCATAACGTCCAAACCAAATTACTCTAAACAACGCCCTTTTTAATAAATAATCCAACAAAACAGAAGTGATTATTGGCAAATGCATTACGTTCTCGATGGTAAACTTTTAAAAAGACGATTCACGACAATACAACTCCAAACGTCTTAGACAATCCACGTATATACATTCGGTTCCAAATATTAATATAGACTACCCTACTCAAGCCGATTTAGACATGTACTCTACTGATATGAAACCGCGAAGTCAACCTTCCGACGAAGCAGCAACAAGACTCAACTGTCTTTAGGATTACTGGTTGAATCAACCACCAAATTGATCTAAAAAAATTTCAATTCATTACTATTGTCTTGCACAAGATGGATTTAGAAAACCAATTGGGACTAGCGATCGTCCGACAAGATACATTTTTAGCAACTCAGTACACTGTTCATCCCAGATTCACATCAAGTCTCATCGGCTGCCGTCCCGATCGTCGATACGATCCAGTAAGGTTTCAGAGTTATTGACATGATTTCCTCTTCTCCGTCAACGAACATCTTTAGTGCGTTCCTGAATGTGCCCCAGGGCTCCTCTATAAACTTAAACTATTCATATCCATTCCTTATTATCTGATACTTAAAGCCGGGAACACACCCGATGCAACGCTATGCGATGCTACCCGACGCCTTGCAACGTTTTGGTAGAGTATGCACATCTATACGATATCAAGCGCACGTCACGTACAGTCACACAGCATGTATCACAAATCAGTATCACAATCGCAACGCCTTTTTTCTTTTTAATGCACTATTTTGAGAAAAACCATGTAATAAATTTTTAGTTAAATTTAATTGTTTTAAATAAAGTTATTGTTTTGATAAAATTTCCGCCAAACCATCATAATTAAATAATTTTTATAAAAACTCATGAATTTTTGATCTCGTGTAATTTGGTTTATATTAAAATAAGAATGTTGCAATTAATATAACGACAAAATTACATATATATATATAGTTTGAAATAAACTACAAAAAATATGAGTGTCTTGTTCTGACGCTATTCGACGAAAATGGTGTAATTGTATGAGCAAAACCATGAAATAAATTGTTAGTTAAACTTTATGAGCAAAACGGTGGAATAAATTGTTAGTTAAATTTAATTGTTTTAAATAAAGTTATTCCGGTGTTTTGATAAATTTTCTACCTAACCATCATAATTAAACTATTTTTATAAAAACTCATGAATTTTTGATTTTGTTTAATATGATTTATATGAAAATAAGAATGTTGAAATTAATACAACGACAAAATTGCATACATTTGAAATAAACTACAAAAAATATGAGTGTGCTGTTCTGACGCTACTCTACGAAAATGGTGTAATTGTATGAGCAAAACCATGAAATAAATTGTTAGTTAAATTTTATGAGCAAAACCGTATAATAAATTGTTAGTTAAATTCATTATATCAGAAAATGGTATTCCGGTGTTTTGAACAATTTTCTACCAAACCATTCAAATTATTTTTTTTTAAATAAAAACTAATTAATTTTTGATCTCTTAATGTGGTTTATATAAAGATAAGTTTGTTGTTATTAATATAACGACAATAACACATGTAGTTTGAGTAAAAATAAAGTCCATTTCTTATGTCTTCGACTGTACTCGATGCAACCCGACGAAACTCTTGACAGTGGGGATCGCAGAGCGTAGAGTAGATTAGCGTTGCTTAGCATGTGCAGGAGGGTAATACAATCTTATGGAAAATTGGACTTTGGATTTGCGTCGGATAGCATCGGGTAGCGTCGCATAGCGTTGCGTAGGGTACGTGTACTCCCGGCTAATCCTGTTTAACCGTTCTGTTTTAGACTGACGTGCAGCGAGTGCTCAGATTCAGATATATGCCGGCGTCCCACAAGGAAGCATTCTCGGTTTCATCCTTTATACAATTTACAGATTTTATACTGCTGACTTTCTTATACATACTAATCCCATTTTTACGCATTGATTGACAACGGAATTTTGTCTTTCAACTCGAATCCTATCCAACCAACTCCAACACCTTGTGAAAAAGTGGAGGGCAAGACTGAATGACGAAAAACACAAACAGTTTACATTTACATAAAAAAAAAAAACCTAAAAGAGGCTAATGCCCGTTTAAAAGGAACAAAAATAATAGGTTAATATCAATGTTGGCTTTTTCCTCTTCCGACATCAAGAACCAATAATTTAACGACCCTGTTTATCTCAATTAATTATGTCTGTTAGTAAACACACACGATTCCGTTCTGTTTCAATCTACATCTAATTTTGATAAAAGCGAAATGAATGAAAAACAATTTAAGTTTGAAATTAATACGTTTTTATGTTTAAAATTAAAAACACATTTCCCAAAACAAATTTATAAATGTAACATAGAAAACCTGTGTGAAATAAAATATCATGTATGCTCGGCCAGCGCATAAGTTGATAAACTTTTGTTATCATTGATGTAATTCAATTTTTTGCGATAAATTAAAATCTGCGTCAATTACAAAAGTTTGATACCTACTGATATACATTTATCCTAGCGGGAAGTTCCTACTGTTAAAATTATGAATAAAAAACACAAATTGTCAATGAAATAAATTTATTTAAACTCCAATTAAAATAAATAACAATTCGGCTCTTCCAATTTATCACATCACCCTCACCTTCATAGAAAAAATAAATGTTTTATTAACATTTTTTAACGCTTTTATACCAAGAAGTAACTCAGTTTTAAATTATTTTAAATTATTAAACTTAAATTAAATCTTGTGCTTTTCAAAGAGAAATTTTCGTCGCTTAAGATCTTGCCGATCAGTCTTTTTTGCAGTGGTAGCAGGAACAGCTTTTGGCTGATTTGAAAATGAGTTCTTTGGTTTCATCCAAGCAACGAACTGTTACTGACACCTGAAAAAATAAATTAATTAGGGCATTTTGGTTACATAAATTTTCTTAATACCGGTTAATCTAAAAACATGTAATTAGATCTAAATATTTGGTTGATATAAATTTTGAAAAATTTCAAGGATTTTTTTGTTGCATCCTTTTTTGTTTGAATCTTATCCGCGTATCTTATCGTTCCTAATTATGATAATTTACTAACATCTTCCGTTTCAATCATATTGCAGCACTGTCCGATAGACGTGATTCCTTGGAGGGGGTTGTTGAAGATAGTCTCCGGTGGAGATGGAACTGCCCAGGATTCGCAATAGCCTATGCAAGCGTTGGTCGTGAGGTAGAACTCCACGCAATCCGGGATGCTCACCTTCCTGCTATGTGCTGAAAGTTGATCAGAAGTTAGAAGAAAAACGTTCATATAACGAGTCGAGATGGATAAGCCGTAGTTGGCTTAAATGCACTAGCGTCATCAGAGATTATCAGCGAATGGGTGAGGATCAAAAGCGATAAGGAAAGCTATTAACATTTTGAGCGAAATTTCATCGGTTAAGAATCCAATATTCTCGTTTATTCGTATAGCCCGCAAACATGAAAAACTGATAAACTCCTTAGTAATGAAATCACATTTTCTCGAGACGTTACCTTAGATAATTTTATTACTATTCAAAAATAATCACAACGTGGTGAGACAGCGCCGTGCCTTTTATGGCTTATATCTCTGATATAATCGGACTTTTCAATGTGTACACTAACTAATAACTTAACTAATCTAAACAGCTATTTTTCTTGTATATCATTTCGACTGGCAACTAAATATCTGAAGAAAACATGCGGTTCGCGAAAAAAGAGAAACGTCAGCTCCTTTCCTCTCCCTATAACACGGATTTAATAATTTTACTCAACTAAACATATCTCTCTCTTTTATTTAATTTTCTGTTGTAACTAGACCGTTTCCACATTTTTCGGAAAAAAATTGGAAGAGTCAGCTTCTCGTACGACCGTGCTCATAAACTTGATGTACTTGGTCTTCATGCATTTTACATTCCCTAATAACTTTATTTAACTAAACACTAATTTTTCGTGTAAATCATTTTTTGTTGCAATTAGATTATCAGAAAAAACTCGCTGGTCGGGAAAAAGGGAAAAGTCAGATTCTTGGCTCTCCATGCTTATAACACTGATTTACTCGGACTTTGTATGGTTTGCACTGGCTAAAATTTGACTTAATTAAAAACATTTTTTATGTCTATTCGTGTTGCAACTAGATTGTCCGGAAAAAAGGTAAATGTAAGCTTCTTACCTCTCCCTGCTTATAACCCTGATATAATCGGAATTTCACTGTTTACACAGATTAAAAACTTTACCCAACTAAGCATTTCATTTTCCTTTATAGAATTTCGTGTTGAAACTAGACTCTTCGAAGAAAAATTTCAGTTCGTGCAGAATGGAAAGAGTCTTGCCTCTCCCTACTTATAATCCTGGTTTTCAAACGTTTTCAGCAAATTATTCTATTACTTTTGTGCACCCTATTTTGAAAATACGAGAATTTGAAATTATGATATGAGATTTGTTTCGAACCATACCGGATATGACAAAATTCATTGATATGTGTTATAAATACAAAAGACCTTATGAATGAAAAACAAACATGTTTAAATTCTTATACAAATATGGATCGTTATTTAAGCAAGTTGGCAATTATAAACTTACTTACACATTATTTTTATACAATAAGTTTCATTCAACAAAGATTTTCTTTTTGCTAGTTTCATATAATAAATAACAAAGGATTTTATTTGTATTTAAATCATATATCATTGTATTCTATCACGTTAATGCAGACTAAACGTAAAGACGTATGAAAAAAAGGCCTATAATACGCGTTTAGCGAAACTATGACCAGTTCACTTAAAAATATTTCTAGAAAGCAAGGCAATTTATTTTTATACTAATCATCTCAACAGAGTGGAGATTTAAAAGCAAAATACCCTCTTTGATCATCGGAAATGAATCAAAATTTGTCACAAACAGCTTCATTCATAAAAACGGAAGAAGTCAACGTCTTGTCTCACTCTACTTACAACCCTTACGCCCAACTGATTATGCTACTTGATATCCGATTATTGAATGGACGGTACAAACATGATAACAATTTTGTTTCAAATCTAACAAGATTTTCTGAATTCCATTGTTGTTATTATTTATTTTAAAAATGAAAAAAAAATTTACTCACCAACTCTGGAACATCCAGGCTTTTCCCAGGAGTCTTTTTGGCCGAAAGCCGATGCCAAATTGCAAAGAAGCAGTGCAAGAATCAGACGATACATCTAGAGAAAAATCAATAATAAAATCAAATACCATAAGAGGTCATTTTATTTTTAAATGTATGAAATCTAAATGACCGTCATTTTATAATTCTTAACAAAAATCTTAAATTATAAAGAATTTATGAAAACGTGACCATCGCTAACAATTTTACTTCTTCCTTGTAATGTAACAATTATTTTTCACAACACAATTATAAAGACTGCTTTTAATATTAAATTTTGTAATGAAATAATTAGATTGTTTGAAAAAACAATTTATTATATAATTATTGATTTAGTGTTTTGCAATATTCAGCCATTTGCATCATACAATTTTTTAGATATTTACAATATTTTGAATTGTTATATTTTGATGAATCTAACAGGTTGTAATCGTCTTAAGAAGGAAGCCATACTAAATGACCAGCTAATTGTTTTTCTTATATTAAAATAACGACAATGAGCTCTATGGACTTAAGATCACCAGTTTTAATGAAACTTTTTTTTAATCAAGTCGAAAAATATTAGCCGTGTGTTAAGCATGATTTAGCGAACAACGTTGGCAAAAGGTGAATTAAACTTTTACTCCTACGAAAAGAAATTAATCATCTCTAAGGGTAGTTCTACTTGCCAATCGACTTATACACGAAAAAATATCGTTATTTAGAGCTTAAAAAATATTAGTTTTGGTATAATAATTCCAATGTTAGGTAACATAACAAAATTGTTTTAGGACGAAGGATATTTTAATTTGGTATAACATAAAAAGATAAATCATGAAAATTCTGCTGTTTTTATATATTTTAACAAACATTCTATAAGTAGGTGAGAAAATTGTCATAACTTGAATTTGGCCTTATTGTCAGATTCGTGATTTTGGCATTACAAAACTCTTAAATACCAGCATTCGCAGAAATCGGTGTAAATAAAATTTTTGACTGATTATTTCGACGAGCATCTATCTGACTGACATTCCTGCGCAAGCTTTAACATCGTTTTTCTCAAAAGGTAGTTAACCAATTTTCATGGTTAATAATTTGGCTATTTTATGTATTTTCTTATGGAAATATTTTAATGGTACATATGTTGTTAAAAGGCGTTATTTTTTCGAATGGTTTGTTTGACGTTAAAATCCTTAGCTGTTTTTTGAATTACAGTCGTATCAATCACAAATCCCGAACATCTCAAAAATCTTCTCAAAGGATAAATTTTAATAATAACAGATTAAAAAATAGATAAATTTAAATTCAAACAAAGATTTATATTTACGGATCTCTAGAGATGCTAAAACGAAATTTCATATTATTTTCATGAGAAAAAACTTATGACTAGTTCACTTGAAAAATATTTGTTTGTTTTTTTTGCTTATTAATAAACTTTGATAGCTTTTAATATATTTTATTGGAATATACATAAAATTCTGTAAAATGATACATTCTTATAGTTGATTTGAGCAGGTAGAAATGTGAAATAAAAATATTAAAAAACGTAAAATTTCAGCTTTCAAATTTTTTTGGCTCGAATCTGTGACCTTCCAACGTGATCGTCTTCTTTTGAAATTTAAAACAATAAAAATAAATAAAATGATCATTACTATATTGATTTAATCAACAATGATGTAAAGATTTACAGTTTATAGTACAAATATTAAATTTGATTTTTATTTTTAATATTTCCGATTAAACAATAATAATAATCACATCAGTTTTTCAAATTAATTATTTTATTATTTGCCTTTTCCTTTTAAGGACAAATACGACGATTTACTTATTGGTGCGATTTAATTTTGTATATACTTTTCCTTCACTACATACCATAATCATAAAAAACGTTGATGATCTTGACATAAAACTCATTACTTTTCTGTGTATTTATTTCTATTATTTTTTGTTCTATTACTGCATAATTACTGCATGTATTCCCAGAGTTTTAAGTTTAATTTTCAATTTACACCGACCTCCGACGACAGACGGATTTAATTCTATGTCGTATATACTTTTATTAATATGTTTCATGATGTGCACAAAATTGTAAAATAAAGTATTTCTATGTATCTATCTAGTGATGCGATTGAGGTTAAAACTACATAAAATCAGGTCAATAGATTTGTTTTGATTAGTTTAATAATTCACTTTATCAACAAATTTATCGTATATTAAATCATTTCAATGCTTTCAATAACAATTAGATAAATTTGTCCAATAATTATTAAAACGTGATAATAATTTAAAAACATATTTTTATGGTGTATTAATTCTAATGTGTAAAATAGGTCTTTTTTTTCATTTGATTATTATTACAAGGTTATTTGTTGTAAATTTACGTTTGGGTCAATTACGATTATTTGGACATCTCATATGTTGCTAAGTTTTTTTTTAATTTTTCATCATTAAGTGCCTAACTGTTTTGAGATCAGCTTTGATTTTTTAAATTTTGAAAACCTAAGAGTCAATGCTGGCACAAAAGACATTATTAAATCGATTGAGCCCTCAAACCTTCAGGAATAGGTCGAGCTGAAAATAGTTGTGCACATGAGAAACCAAGAGGTTCACTCGGTCTATTTACATAATTTTGATAAAGACTCTTGTGAATTTCAAGGGAAAGGTTATAACATTACATTTTTAATTATTTATTTCACCAATATATTGGGAAGTTTATTGTTTAGACGAAAACAGTGTCAGTTGTGAACAGTCAAAATGATTTGCCGACGGTCATTTCCGACAATCCTGTTCTGCATAGTATCGCCGGTTTTGTCAGTTTTCCCGTTCGTTTCGACATTTCGCCATCTTCAGGGATTGGTCTGAGTGTTACTTTTCTTTTTATGAACGTGAAAGGTAAAAAATGTTTAAAAAACTATCTTAATGGTTGGACCACCTTTACGAACGCCTCTCTAGCAGTGTGTATGTTAGGGTCTATGGTGGAATATTTATAAAAGTACCCTATCGACCGTAATTTAGATTAGATTATTATTACCCTGTATAGGTCGAAGAAGAACTATCAAGTACTATATCTTATAATCAAAATGAGAGGAATATATTTGTTGGTATAAAATTTATTTGTGCTAATATATCATGGAATTTAGTTAATTGTAGGATAGATTATAGTTGATATGCGTTGAGGGTTGGAATGATCTAAGTGTCAACAGCTTCAGTAGGAGGTCATCTGGCTTAAGGGTGATACTAGTAACCAGCTACATAACGGGGTAAGTGAACACCCATGAAGCATTGACCCTAGAGTTAGTTCATCGGTAATGACAATCCTTCAGGGTGAAAGTCCATAATGGTTGGACAAAACTCATTCAAAGACGACAAAACAATTTAGGGTCGGATTTATTAAACTATTCAATAAATAAATAAAGTTTCATTGTCGTGAAGAGGCGGGTGTGTGCTAAATAATTTCTACAGTTTGAAAAAAAATTGTGCCCTTTTTCTGTAAAGGCAAATGTTTGTCAATATCTGGTTTTAAAAGTGAAAAGTTTAAATCTTTAAAAATTTTATATTTGACGAACAAAAGAGAACAACAATCTCAATTTCACCCAAAAAATTGATTCATGGAAGGTCGATATTCTTTACAACTAATTATTCTTTTTATGTAAGATTTTGGTTGAGATGAAAAAGTTAGAGCGGTTCACGACCTTCTTTGCAACGATAACAAAGTGTGTAAATCCTAATGACAAAAATATACTTTTTATTCATATAATGTTTCAAGTTTCTGTTTATTTATGAAGAATTGTAAAATTGTAATCGCCAATGAAGAAGCCTTCTTGAATTTACTTATATATAATTTCTTTCACAGTATAATATGCAGTCTACCTAGACTCGCCGGTTTCATCAGTTTTGACGTTAGTTTCGGCATTTAGCGCTTTTCGGTGATTGGTCGTTATCTTTCTTTTATCCTCGTGAAAGATAAAAAAGGAAAAAGAAAAACATTAATTCATAATTTTTGGATAAAAACTCACTAATGATAACAAAACATGGCTGACGATAACAACTAGACTAGGACATTCCAAGATGGTCGGAAAATTACTGAACAAATTCATCACACTGCAGCTTAAACAAGAAATTTTACAGTTTATGTAAAAAAAATTAACAATTGAAACCATTTAGAACCATACTAAACAATAGACAACATCTTTCAATTCATTATACTTGAAATTATATCACTCAAAATTTTTAATATATATTCATATTTATTTAATTTTTAAATAGCTATATAACAATATAATAGTACATAATAATATAATAAAGTTTCATTGTCATGGTGAAGCAAGTGCAATCTACAAAAGTTCTAAGAAACTCAGTGTTTTATTTATAATTTGTCTCATCCCTAATCATCTTTTAATATTAAAAAAATGTGAAGTGTAGTATTTAGTGACCGTTAATTAATAATTATTTAGAGATCGTGATATGTGGTTTGGTCAAGGTAGGTTTAGAAAAACATTTTCTTTATCGAAATAATCATATACAACAAACTATAATCATTTACTTAAAAGATTTAGAAATATGAATATATATTACAAATTTCAAGTATAATGAATTTAAAGATGTTTCTATTATATAATGTATTATTTAGTATTATTCCAAATGGTTTCAATTTTTTTGACTAAACTGTAAAATTTCTTGTTTAAGCCTGCAGTGTGATGAATTTGTTCAATAATTGTCCAGCCTGGAATGTCCTAGTCTAGTTGTTATCGTCAGACACATTTTGTTATCTTTAGTGAGTTTTAGTCCAAAAATTAACTATTTTGTTAGTTCTTTTGTACCTTGCACGTGCATAAAAGAAAGATAAAGATCAACCAAGCTGTTGAAAACTACATTTAAAATATTTATATTTTTACCCTCGTGGTGTTTCCCTGCAATGACAAATGTTTGTCAATATCAGGTTTTAAAAGTGAAAAGTTGAAATCTTTGAAAATTTGTAAATTGTAACGTCTTTTATTCTGTAAACTTTGGTCAAAATTAAATTTTGGTAAACGTGACTTATCTCAGTGTTCTGCGTTTTTTAAACAATTGTACCTAGTTTCAATTTTTTTGAAAATAATTCGAAAAGCCTTACCTCAGAGAGCGAGTGTCGAGCGGTTTCGAAGCAGTTTCGAGGGTAGTCGGTGGCAAAGTGGATGGCCAGCGCCCCAAGCGGTTCTTACAAAGGGGCCCGGGCCGCCCTTGAAACCGCCTCCGACGGCCCGCCCAGCCGCCTCCGCACTTCTCTCCCCCGGCCGTTAACACGCAGCAGGGCTGAAAACGTCATGGCATCGAATTAACTGCCCTGGCTATGAAATTTGACGGTCCCGCTGCGAGAAAAAAATTCCCATTTGCAACATAATTACTTCGACTTCAAATGAGATGATGTGAAAGAGCCGAAAAGTCTATTATATCCCAAATTTTCACCCCTTTAAGAGATTTTAATTGTTCGGTTCCAGGTAGCAATATCGTCCTTTGTTGTCGATTGTTTGCCTGACAAGGATCGGTTACCGAGAACGAACATTGTCTGTCAACTTTGCCCGTTCGACATAAGATGAATTCCCCCCCCCGTTTTTTTACAATTTTCATTATATTTAACTTATGTGTTTCATACTGTCAAAACAAACCAAATTCACAAATTTCAGTATAAGTTAAGAATTAAATACAGAATGTAAAAAAATATCTTCGAGTGGATTTTTTATTTTTTATTGTTTTCCACTCAAAAGTAACCCTTGCGAGACGGAATATATTTCCACCTGCCCTCGAGTAAGATTACAGATGTTTAAAGATTACTTCGTCCATTCAGTTTTTTACAAGTATCAGATTCAAATTACATTTATATTTGACGTTGTTGATCTTAATTATTTGTTATATGTAGACATTAGTGACCGTTAATCGATAGTTATTCAGATATCGTGAGATGCGGTCGGGTGTGATGTAGGTTTCAGAAAAACATTTTCTTTATGGTGCCAACGTTTCGATCTTTTATTGAGATCATCTTCAGGTTATATAATTAGATATTTTGTTTTAATAATGTTTGTTAAATTTTGTAAAATAATAGATTTTTAATTACTTATTCTATAATGATCTATATACAGGGTGTTCGGCTACTCGTGTTACAAACTTTGCCCGTAGATTCTACATTCAAAATGGAACCAAAACATCCTAATTATTGGATATGAAAGAAACCCAAAATGACACAATTTCATAATGTGTTTATTTGATTGACACTGATCACATTTCTGGATTTGTATATTTTTACTTGGTTACGTTCTTAATGAAGATGACGTGAAGCTAAATTCCTACGAGTGGAATGAGACCTTCATTACAATAAATTTATTATAATAATTTGTACATCTCTTATGTATCTGAGGTTTTGTTTTTACAAAGAGATCGTCAGATTTCCCAAGCTGTGCAATTGTTTCATTTTCTTGAGGATATTAAAAAACCAAAAATGACACAATTTCATAATTTATAAGATTACATTTTCTGATTTCTAAAGGTTTTATTATACACTGAGTGGTAGAAAAGTGACCCCCTCGTTTTTGTTTTATTAAATACTTGCAATCGTTAAAATTAATTATCCTTTTTATCTAAGATCTTGGTTGAAATGAAACTTGATAAAAAGAATAATTAATTAAAATAATTAATATGGTCAATTGTTTACTGGATATTTTTAAAGAATAATAAATATGTATAGCAAAATAAAAACTAGAGTAATTCAATTGTACCAAAAGTGTTACTATGGAAACAATGAAAAAAATATTCCATTTAGCATGGAGTATTTCCATTCTCGTTGATTACCGCTTGCATTCGACGTGGCATTCAATTTTAGCAGCATATCGGATTACTGTTTATGTTAAGTCGTATTAAACAACATTATGTGGACACCAGCTGAAACCTTCACCCTACATTATCTCCATAAAAAACTGAACGTAGATATTAAATCAACCGCGTAAAATCCAACTTGTCTTCTGCTATCAATCTTGTCCTGCCATCAATTTTTAACATGATCAAAATGGAATACCAATTTTAAGTGATAAGCTGTCAAGTAGTTAGGCGCTGTTCTTGGCTACTTGAAAGACTTGTCAATTTAAAAAAAGGGGGAGTAATTTAGTGATTAGCAAATTTTACTTTATTAGCCCTGAAATTATTAGATAAATATTATTTTAGACAGCCACCAATCGAATCAGGAAACATTTCATCTAATTCAGTCAAACAGAATGATCAATTACAAAATATTATTGGATATTTGTTTATTAATTTCATATATTTTGTGTCAGCTTTTATTGTCTCTACTTTATAACATTTATAGATTATTTATATAATTATTCAGAAATCGTGAGATGCGGTCTGGTTTGATGTAGGTTTCAGAAAAATATTTTCTTTATCGTGCCAACGTTTCGATCTTTATTGAGATCATTTTCTTTACGGTTTCCGTTGATAATTTCTGCCTCTCCGATTTCATCAGTTCTATTTGTTTTCTATTTTTTGTTTTTATTATAACTGGAGTAAATAATATTTACAATTGCGGAAAAAAAAACAATTGTTTGACGTCAGGATATTGAAGTTCATAAGAATTTGTAAACAACTTAGATTATCACTGTTATTAAAATGCAATACAAAAAGAAACTGAACATTATAGCAGATTCTGCTTCCAGACAAAATGTTAAAAAAAATTTCATTTATTTTCAGATCAATTTTATGTTGTATACTGCTCCAATATTTCTGCTAACTTTTTTTTAAATTAATTTGATTACATTCTTCCTTTCTATTCAGAAATCGTGAGATGCGGTCTGGTGAGATGTAGGTTTCAGAAAAACGTTTTCTTTATCGTGCCAACGTTTCGATCTTTATTGAAATCATCTTCATGGCCTGGGATTTACAAACATTGTTTACATTTAACAAATACATTTAGGATGTGGAAAAGTGAATATATACAATGCAAAATATATTTTTTATATTCAATCAAAGTATTTCTACTCACTCAAAGTGTTTGTATTCTGTGTAATTGTGCCATTCTCACGTGTCGTGTTCATACCCTCACTGGCACTCTCAACACGACACGCAATAATGGCACAATTACACAGAAGACAAACACTTTGAGTGAGTAAAAATTCACTTTTTTCCACATTCTACATGTTTTTGTTAAATTTAAACAATGTTTGTAAATCCCAGACCCTGAAGATGATCTCAATAAAGATCGAAACGTTGGCTCGATAAAGAAAATGTTTTTCTGAAACCTACATCACACCAGACCGCATCTCACGATTTCTAAATGTTCATCGACTAACGGTCACTAATCACCACACATTATTTATATAATATCGATGTTTTTATTGTTTGATAATTACCTATCAACTGGTCTGATTATCCTCGCCAACTACCGAGACGCGTCTGGACCAACAAAAATCAGTGAGGAAAGGAAGACCAAGATGATAGATAAGTATAAAAAATAGGTTTATCACCTCGCAAACCATAAGGAGTAAACGTCATTTTTATGCTGCCTAATGCACAGTAAGTGTAAAACACATTACCGATCTATGATTTTCATTTCCCTTCGCTAAATTCCTGTTTATCCAATTTAGTGGTCTATGAAGTAATTAAGAGAAAATTCTTTGGTTCCAGGATTGTTGGATGAGGAAGGTAGGCGATCTCACAGTTTTAGATTCTGTAGAGAAATGGGGCAAAAATGGAATACATCTTAAGGATAAAACGATAAATTTTTATCAAAAGAGAAAAAAGCGCCAGAAAAGCATAACATATATAGGCAACTAAGACTGCACGTGAACTATATGAATTTTGGTGTAAATACTGAGGATTTGGATGTAATAATTAAAACCATAGGAGAATTATTAAATCTTAATTATAATCCCTACATCCCGGGAAGAATTTACCTGTTTTTAAGAGAATTTAGCTCCTTATGTAAAAGGAAAGGAAATGAAGATATATTCCACTTTTTGGGTCGGTGTGCAATATTAAAGAGCACCAGGAAATTTTTTTTTGTTCCGAACCCCTGTCGGATGTAGCCAAATCTAATGTAAATCTTTTAAACGGAACCTTGTCTAAATTTAATAAACTATATAAAAGAAGCAACGCTTTACAGCTTTTTTTATTTGAAAATTTTAACTTTAAAAGTTTGAAAATTTTGTATTTTTAGCACGAAAAACTAAATTTTATTTTCTGTTTTGTTATTAGGTTAGTTAAAGTTAGTTAAGTGTATGGTCTTTTAATTATTTTTGTGTTGTATTCAATTTCTTTTCTTTTCTCAAATGGATGAGAATTCTTGGCAGAAGGCCTCGGCTATTGTCGTTTTTCTTGTTGTTACTTTTGTACTAGTTCATAATATTGTAAATAAAATTATCTATCTATTTTTAATCTATGTTTAATAAAAAGTTTATTTTTGCAATATTCAGTACGCTTTAATCATAATATAATAAACATATAGAATATTTGACCACTTATAAATAGAAATATTGATCACTAAATCTCGTAACAATTAGGAAAAAAAAATATTTAAAAACTACATTTAAAAACAGATAAACTATCTCCGTTACTTATCAGCCCTCAAAATTATAATTATACGTTTAAAAAAAGGATCCACAATGAGGCCAATAAGAAATTAAAATTTTTGCATTCGTCTGCGATCTAGTGTTGAATGAACACAATATTTAATTTCATTACTCTTAAAACATTACGCTTTAATATTGTAAATAAATGTTTATTAAATTAATAATTCTAATTTCACAGTCCTAATGAAGCAGCTATATGTTTCCAAATCTAAACTAAGAAATTGAATTTTGCTTCCTAGTTTTTATCAACGCTAACCTTAATTATTAAAACCGATTTGTGTGCAGTTTTCCCTTTATCATTTTAAACATTATTTTTTCCCGGTTTGATTTTTACGAAAAGTTATCCTGTGTTGAAACAAGTACAGAAACTTTCAGAAAAGATTTACGATTTTCTTCTTTTATGATATCAAAGATTCAGACTTAATGAACCCTCTCCAAGTTTCATAAATACGGTAATTGGACGGGACAATAACCTTAACAGAAATGTATTAATTAAGTTACATTTGTGTCCTAGTTTTATTTTAAATATAAATTAAATACAATCAAGAGTTTTCACGAAAAGCTCATTACCAAAGTATTACTTTTACAGTTTTAGGAAGACGTAAAGTTTTACTTTTTTCTTTAAATATAATTTTTTCCTCTGAGAACTTCTCGAATAAGTTAAAACGTCGATTTTCTTTGTCAACAATAGCTGCGGAGAATAATGCGGTTTTAGGTCCATTTCTTTCGAAGAATGTTAACCGGTTTCTGCCCATTGATAATGTGCAGGGTATATTGCAAGTAGATGACAATTCTCAACGCTGTGAAACTAAACCAGAACTAAACATATTTCTATCTATCAGTTCCAGACAAGTTTTTTTCTCGAGTAAACGACTTTTTTGTAATATAAGTATAATTTTCTCTACTTTTACACATTTTTTTTCGTTGTTGACAATTATCAGCTGCCCTGAAGATGATTTCAATAAAAATCGAAACGTTGGCACGATAAAGAAAATATTTTTCTAAAACCTACGTCCCACCAGACCGCATCTCACGATCTCCGTATTATCTTTTAAATATAGCTTATTCATGAGTATGAAACTTGTATAAATTTATTGCTTTTACGATTATTCGGAGATCGTGAGATGCGGTCTAGTGTGACGTAGGTTTTAGAAAAACATTTTCTTTATTGAGATCATCTTCTTTACAGTTTCCGTTGATAATTTCCGCCTCTCCGATTTCCTCAGTTCTATTTGTTTTCTATTTTTTGTTTTTATTATAACTGGAGTAAACAATATTTACAATTGCGAAAAAAAAAACAATAGTTTGTCGTCAGGATATTGAAGTTCAGAAGAAATTGTAAACAACTTAGATTATCACTGTTATTAAAATACAATACAAAAAGAAACTGCATATTGTAGCAGATTCTGCTTACAGATAAAATATTTTTAAAAAATTTCATTTATTTTCAGATCAATTTTATGTTGTATGCTGCCCCAATATTTCTTCTAACATTTTTAAAATTTTATTGCATTCTTCCTTTCATTCATTACATGATTACTTCATAAACTTTCTTGAAGCAATTACATTTATTATGTGTGTTATGCTTAATTGCTATAAATGTACATAAAATAAATATGCTTTTTGTTAAACTAAGTATATATTTTTCATTCTTATTATATCACTAACAAATTTATAGCTCATTTATCAGTAAAATCACAGAATAATGAACGCAATAGAATCGAGGAACTCAAGATAGCATTATTTTTGGTCCCTCACGAGAAGATTCCTGGTGCCCCCGGTAGTTTGGACTTACGTAGGATGTGTTCCCTTGTTTGTTCAGCTGGGTTCTCATTTTACATGTCGGGTCGTCAGTAATTAAGTTTCCCACTCGTGAATAAGATATATATAATTAATGTTATCGGTCTATTAATCAACGATTAAATTATTTTAAATCATTATTTGGGGACCGTGAGGTGCGGTCTGGTGTGACGTAGGTTTTAGAAAAACCTTTTCTTTATCGTGCCAAAGTTTCGAAATCATCTTCAGGGCCTGGGATTTATGAGCATTGTTTAAATTATACAAATACTTGTAGGACGTGAAAAAGTGAATCTATACATTGCTAGAAATTTTAGACTCAATCAAAGTATTTGTTCTCACTCTAAGTGTTTGTTTTCTGTACAGATGTGTCATTATTGAGTTCGGCAGTGAAATATTGATGTTTTATGTTTATATATGTTGGTTTTTGAAGGGGTGGGGAAGGAAGTTGGGACAGAAAACATTTTTATATGATGAGAAGGCTCCATTGAGGTAAAAGGAGCCGACAATGGAAAGAATGGGTAATGGTCCGACCTGATTATCCTTTCAGGATTATAAAGGGGGATAATTAGGGAAAGGAAAGCTAAATTGTTGAAAAATTGGACTATGTAGAAATGTTTGGTGTGAGGAATGTAATGATTGTTTTATACATACTGAAATTTTCTCAAATTTTCTTGAAAACCGACTCAGTCATAACATTGCCAAGGAATTTAACGATAAGTTTACCCTGATGATGACCTTAAAATAGATCGAAAATATGGTAGTAACAACTGAATTTGCTTTTTTCTTCAAGACCAGATCTTGATCCATAGTGTTCGTGATAATCTAGTTTATTCTTTTCCGATGATCATTAACAAAATATATTATAGAAAATAACTTGTCTTGGTACAGAGAAATTGGCGTTTTCTGGACAAAATTTTATATACAAAATTGGAAATGGTGAAATTGTAAATAAATTAAGAAATTAATCAACCAAGTGAATAAAAAAGAAAGGTATTGTGCATAAAGAATACAATTAACTTTTCATCTCGGTCATAAAAATATTTGTAGCAAATGGATTACTTTTTATGTCAATAATTTAAAAATCAAGAGGTGTGAGGCCTTAGTAGCCCATGCAAATAGATATGAAAGAAGGAGGCCTTATGCTTTATGCAAAACAGAAGTGGTGGGAAATTACGTGGATGTGCTCAGTAGTGGAAAAGTTAAGATTAAAATGATTAACAGAGGGGATCAACTAATTCTGGTATTTAAAAAATGAAAACCAGAAGAACTAAAAAAATTTGAAATTTTTGAACAAAATTATCTGTTGGTAATTAAATTAGATTTTTTCTTCATCGTTTGATGTAAATGATTTGCAATTTTCAGCTGCAGAAATGCCGGGAAAAAAATTGGAAATTTAAGCAAAAATTTTAACTTATTTACTAATGTATATTTTTTGTCCATCGTTTGGTGTAAATGATTTGCATTTTTGAGCATTGAAGTAAAATTTCTGGTTATACAACTAGACTGCACGACGCGCAATACCACCACTATCAACAAAGCAGTCGTAAGCAGGCAAACAAATCGATTCGCTGTTCAACGAAAAAATGTGCTCTTCGACGAAAAACGAACAAAAGGTAAAGAATAGATACTATTGTAAAATTTTTTTTCCAGGAATTAAGATTTGCTCTCATAATGCGGATTTGACAAATGATGACGGAATGTAACCTATAAAGGCAATTAATGTTTACTTAGTGAAGAAGCAAATTATTGGAATTAACAACGAAACAAACGAAATGCGTTTTTATAAAACTTTTTGCCATGACATTGGACCATAGTTTTTCAACGTGAAAAATCCTTAAAATGATATGCCAAGATGTATTCGGATTTGAAAGTTTGGAGTTGAACTAGGCCTGTGGTATTTTTGGCTTGTATAATTTTTCTCCAAAAAATAGTAAAAAGTTGAAACTAGACTAAAAAATATTAAACACTTTTTTTTTAATAGTATCATTGGTTCAATAGAAATTCACACGGGCCATCTAAAAAGGACATCCTGTATAGGACGTAGCGGCAGAAAAATTAAAGCAAGAGTTAAAGAACACTTGCCTAAATTGAACAAATTTTCTGAATTTAAGAACCATTTAAATTAAACATGACACAATTTATATTTAAATACAACAGTGTTACACTGTTTCAACAGAGGGATGGAACTAGATTGGTTTAAGACATTTGATATAAAATAATGTAAATTAAATATGGAAATAAATTATAGATTTTGATTTACCTCCCACTGTGCATCAAAAAATATTTAAAAAATATACACCCGACTTTTGGCGCAAGTTTCAATGGGCTTAAGATATTTTCCATAAATAATATTGTGTGGTGATTAGTGACCGTTAATCGATAATTATTATTGCCCCGTGTGGCATTCTCAACACGACACGCAAGAATGGCACAATTACACAGAAGACAAACACTTTGAGCCCTGAAGATGATCTCAATAAAGATCGAAACGTTGGCACGATAAAGAAAATGTTTTTCTGAAACCTACATCACACCAGACCGCATCTCACGATTTCTGAATAATTATAAATAATATTATTTTAAATTTGGCCCGTTATAGTTAGATTTTAGAAACAATGAATGTTTGGAATTCAAAAATTGGTTTAAAGTATACTTAACAGAGTAATCTTTGTGGGTCAAAAAAGTATTGGTATAGTTTAAATGTTTACTATTAGCTCCAGTCAAAATAAAGAAATCCATTTTCTTTCAATAAATTAGAAATAAAGAGTGACAATAATACAAAGACAATAATAAATTCATTCTTCGTTCTACCTTTGCCATATATTTGCGTTATTTTCAAAAATCAGATAATTAAATTACATTTTAGGCACCTACCGACAAATAGCGAATAGATTAGAAACTGTTAGAAATATTGTAAGAAAGTTTAGAGAGACAGGTTCGATTTTAAACAAATCTTGTTCAGGACGGCCATCAACATTTAGTGAAAGGGAACAAAGGAGCATACACCGCATTGTTGAGAAAAAGCCCACTTTGTCAGCCCCCAGAATAGAAGAAGAAGTCGCATCGTCTTCCAAAACCACATTCTACTTACAGAAAACAAGAAATGTAATTCACAAATATAATTATTATGGCAAGATCCAAAGGAAAAAAACCTTTTATACCAAAAAAAAAGACTAGTTTTTGCCAAACTTATTTTAATAAGGACCTAGAATTCTGGAAAAATGTTATTCTTTTTAGATGAGAGTAAGTTCAACATTTTTGGATCTGATGGCCGCAAGTACGATTGCGGAAATCTAATGCTGGAGTTTCAAGCTCGCCATGTAAGGCCCACTGTAAAACAAGGAGGTGGAAATATCCTAGTTTGGGGTGGTTGTTATGGAATTGTACAAGAACATTCATTGACAATAGATGCATGCCGAGAAATAATATCGACTTTTTTCGGTATAATTCGGTATAATAAAAAGTAGTACTGAAAATCTGGGGATCAAGGACACATTTATCTTTCAATAAGACAATGATCCCAAGCATACAGCAAACAAAACAAAAAATTGATGATGTACAATGTTCCCGGCAATCGAAAACGCGACCAGTTTCCTGGATTAAATTCAATAGAACACCTACAGTATGTGTTGGACCTAAAAGTAAAAAAAATAAATAAATGTGTTGAAAGAAACTTTATATGAGGAATGGAGTAAAATTGGACAAGAAGACAAAATCTTGTTTCATCGATGACAAGGAGTCTACAGGCTGTCATAGATGGCAATCGTATAATGACAAAATATTATTGGTATCAAAAATAAGTAAATTAAGAGTGTCAATAAGTGACAATACTTTTTTGAATGAGTAAAAGTGAATTTTTTGTTTACTTAATTGTTGTGTTATGTAAATTTTCAATTTTTCTTTTCGAATTAAGTATGGGATTGTTTCACGTGAAATGTCGTTTTCAGGATAAAGGTTTTTTAATAAAATTACTATATAAAAACAAAATCATTTTATTCGAAGTACATACCTTCATTTTCTACACATTTTTCCCAACGCGTGGCCAACATTTTTATGCCGGAACTGAAGAATTCTGTGCTTTGAAATGAAAAATCGGAAAAGGCTTTTTGAACTTGAACATCATTTTCAAAAATTGTTCCTTCGATAAAGTTGTCTAAATTCCTGAACAGGTGAAAATCTGTTGGAGACAAATCTAGAAAATAAGGTGCATGCTGAACAACTTCCTAGCCAAACTTTTTCAATTTGTTTACGGTATGTATTGAAACATGCGGCTTGGATATGTCGTGGAGGAGTATAGAACTTTTCCGATTTACCAACGCAGATTGTTTTTTGATTATTTTTTAAATGAATTTCTTTAATTTCCTTGCAACATGATGTAGAGGTAATGGCCTCTCATCTCTAGGCAAAAATGAGTAGTGGATCATTCCAGCCATCGACCCACCATATGGCCTTACTTAGTGTTTCTTGCAGCCTCAGCTGCCAAATGACCGAGTTTCAACTCGTAAAGAAATATTACACGAAAATCGCATGTCATGTTCATATTTGGAGGTATACTAAAAAGTGTGTAATGGATTGGGAAGCTCATCATTATAAACAAAAGTGGAGGATTAATAACTCCTTATAGGGGGCGTCGGTGGTCGCAACGGTTTAGGCGTTGACACGGCGCTCATCACTGTAAGGTAAAAGTCCTGGGTTCGAATGCAGCGGCCCGGCATTCGAAACCGACATACCTACAAATGGTTTTTTTTTCAAAAACGCCGGCACCCTGAGTGTTTATATGACCTCTGCTGTTGCGAACCCTCGTTAAAAAAAGAAAAATTAACTACTTAATTATATTATTTAAAGAATTGGAGTAAACGACAAAAAACGCTATATCCTCTCTGAATTTTTGAAACTATAAAATCGGACATTTCATGCAAAAGAAACCAATATTTTTTCTAAATATTTTACGAAATAAAAATATTTAAAAAATAAATTTTTCAATTTTTAAAATTTGAAACCTAAAAATACGACAAACGTTAAGTGTGCCTACACTTTTTTGATCCACAGTATTTTACACATGTACCTAAATATTATACAAATCAATACTAATTAAAAATTGTTGTGTCCAATGAACAAAATCATGGAATTAAAACCTTTTATTTTTCAAAAAACCGTTAATTCAATTTTTTCAGTAAAAACATAATTTCTAATAAATTTTAATGCAATTTATAATAAAAGTAAAATAAAAATCTTAGGGAAAATAAATATTAAAAAATTGGCAATATCTCTATTCATTTTGGAGCAGTTTATATTGCGAATATTTTTAGCAACTTGGCTTGGCCTTCCCATATTACTTGATGGTTCAATTTTGATTATATTTTACTTGTTGCATTACTATTATTTTTTTGTGTGTCTGATTATATTTTGAATTATCTGTTATAATATTTTTTTACAAAATATGGCTACATTTTCATACCTGATTGCAATCATTAGCCGCTCTTAGGATGCAATTGGTCTACTATGACATTTCTCCATCTTTTTTCAGTCCCACAGAGATGTGCGAAAATATGTAATCAAAGGTATGTATACTCATTCTCATATATTCTATAAATTTTGTAGGATGTTGCCTTAATTGTTTATAAAAATTATGAAAGTTTTCCAAACACGTACCTCTGGATATTTATAGGGTGCGCGACGAATTTGCGCGATTTATTTGCAGTTTCACCAATATAATATTTAAGAGCATTTGAAATAGAAAGTATTTCCTCTTCAGAATCGCTCATTTTTAAAGAAATGTTTTCAATTTATTGGGTTGATCTAAATAATAAATAAAACGTCACATACAAAGCATAGATCGTCACTATTGTCGAACTCCGTTATAAAATGCATATCATAGAAATGAATTTAGCTCTGCTCTTATGATTTATCGCAGTTACAGCATAAACATACCCTAAGGCTAATCTTAAGCGGCCCTTACACAATATTGACAACAGTATGATGTTGACAATAATATTGATCATGTAATGAGAAAAAAGAGTATTGACGATCGATATTGATGGAATCCAGATTTTCTGATCTTGGGGCGTCAGTAGTTAAAAGTGGAGGGGATATTGTCAATATTATTGAACGTCTAGGGGCATATTCAATAATATTGTCAATACTCAGTTGTTGCCGCGCTTTCGTAGGAAAGGAAGTGATCTTTGCAAGGAGTTTTAAGGATTATATGAGACTCTGAAGACTTTGAAACGGTAAACGAGTCAGGTAGAAGAAATAATGTACACGAAGAAAGTACTGAACGCCCGGAAGTAAAGCCCTGCGGACCTTTATTGAACAATTTGAACTATCTCCAGAACTGTGGAATTCTGCGAACCGTACATACAGTAATAAAACAGCTAGGATGCTGCGCTTGACTACCACATCCCCTTTTTAGTGAGGATAAAGCTAGGGGCCAAAACATAAGATGTAAAGAAGAAAATAAATAGCCTACGAACGAATTTCAGGAAAGAACTAAAGAAGATTGCCACATGAAAGAGACCTGGAAAGTGCCCAGATGAGGTGTACAGACCTACTGCATGGACATTCTATGCTCTGTCATTTCTTGAAAGGTTTGAAAAGCCAGTTGAGCAGCAGCCAAGTGAAGCACAAGAACCAGTGAGTCGTGTTTTTGTTTTAATTTACCTAACTTTTTCTGTATGCCTACACCTAAGTATTGTTCTCTATAAAGAATACATTTTAAATAATCTAGAGCTCGGTAAATGTGTTCACTCGGTATATAAGGATTTATCAAAAGCTTTTCATCGTTTCATACTGGTCAAAAAACTAAAAAAACTAGGTGTGAGCCAACCCTCTTAGGATAGGTGGACTCCTTTTTGTCTGAGAGGTCTTTTTTTTGTAAGATTTCCATAAGTCCCACGTACGATCTGGTACGAAGGTTCTCATTGATGAGGTAGATACTATCTCGGATCTCGGAGTTATTTTTAATAACAATTGTGATTTTCGAGACCACATTGTTACCCCCTTTTTTATTTAAAAAAAAAAAAAAGGGGATAAAATTTAAATTGTCAGCGCGCGAAGGTTTGGAGGGGACCGGAGCCGAGAGGAGAAGAGGAGAGAGAGGAGTCAGTGCAGGTCGACGCACGGCGACACGGACGACGCGAAGAAACAGAGTTTTCCTCTTTTTTATCGGAGAAAAAAAGAAGGAAGGAAGAAGGGAACGGACGGCAGATAAGTGGCGTGCTAAGACTGTTCAGTGTGTGATTTTCTTTTTGTATTCCTGTCGGTGAGGACCTTTTATTAGTTTGTTTTCGGGAACTTTATTTCATTTTTTTTTATGGATAATTTGAGGGAATTGTTCTTTTTCTTGTTGTATTAATAAAAGTTGTGAAGGACTTGTAATTAAGTTAAATGGTTTTTTTTAATATGGAGACCCCCTTCGTAGCGATATCGCAAATTTGGAAAGATTGAGAGAACGAGAGACATTCGACAGGTAGTCAGGTTGGCCGAGTGGATATAGGCCACCACTCATATTCGGCGGCTCTTGGATCTAAACCGACTTGCGGTCAGATAATTTTTTTTAACTTTTCCTTTCCACAATTCCTCTCTCTTAATTTTCTTTCTCTCCTTTACCGATATAACCCTCTCTGCTCTTCTCCCTACCCCCTTGTTGCCATCTTTTCCTTCCCTCCCTCATACAAATTACTACCCCTCAACCCCTGGTTACTTTATTGTTAACTTTGTCGCTTCCACTTTTGGTTCTCTCTCGAGCCAAAAAGGGGACGACTGGCGCCCAACATAATTCCCGATCTCCACTCCCGTCCTCTAACCCACCCCTTCTCCACCGAGCTGCTGGCCACCTAGGCCCCCCCCCACCTACGTGAGGTTTGGACCGTAACAACATCCATGCCGTTTGGAATAAATCTTTTAAAAATTTAGAATTCGTACTCGGGACACTGTTGACACATTAAGTCTTAATGTGAGAAGGAACCATCTTTTTTAAAAAGGATTGAACTCCACACTCACCCCATCATTTATACTTTCTATTAATTTGCTAGTCAAAGCAGTAATAGATTATAACATCCCCGTATTATAACGTCCCAGTAATACGGGTTACAGTCTTCAATCTCCACAGCTGTGCATTATATAGGTTCGAATGCAGGGCCGCTGGATTCGAACCCGGGACCTTTACCTTACAGTGATGAGCGCCGTGTCAACGCCTAAACCGTTGCGGCCACCGACGCCCCTTTTAGATTAAAAAAATTAAAAATTAAAAAATTAAATTAAATTTAAAAAAATATATATTGAACGAGCTTTAAAATGTAATTGAGGGTTTAATTATTACTTTTGTTGTGTTATTTATTAATCTATTTATAATGTTGATTTTTTGTTAAAAGTGTTGGCCCTTCTTTCCTGTTATTTTTATTTGTATATCCCTTTTTAATAATTTATATTGTAATGATTGTTTTGTTGTGTTGCTTGACTGTCCTATGATTGGGTACCTGACCTGTCTGGACTGTAAATAAATAAAATAAAATAAAAATAAATTGTTTTTATCTTTTACCTACATCTTGATATCTATGATTCCCGTCTAATTAAGAATTTTCCAAGAAAAATTAAACAAATCAAATTGGTTGAAAAACTGCTATTTTTGTTTTTAAAAATGGTAATTTGGTAGAAAAAATTGATAATTTTTTTCTTTTAAGGTAAAAGAAAAAATTATCAATTTTTTCTTTTACCTTCCTTGGAAGGTAGACTCTGCGAGTTGAAGTAAACCGTATTTGTTTTTTTTTTCTTTTTAAATTTGGTTCACATACTGAGCAAAAAGGCAGCCAACATGGACCCTATGTGCCCGGAACCCTAATCCGGCCTAGCAGCCTGCCACAAAAGAGGATACATCTTCAAATGGATCCTTAATGAGTCCAAAATCTGGGGGAACACTACCACAGATATGAGGCACGCGAAGAGATTCATAGAAGGACCATCTGCAAAACTTACAAAAGAATTACTGGAAGGCAACCGCAACCGAACCAGGATTCTGGTTGGACTCCTGACGGGGCACTACCACTTAAGAAAGCACATGCACCGGATAGGAGTACAGACAGCAGAAACACTGTGCAGATACTTCCAGGAAGAGGAGGAGACCGCAGAACACATTTTATGTTTCTGTGAAGGTCTGTGTAGGTGCAAGTTCTTGCAACTAGGACAAGAAAAACCTCAAGCCAGATCCAACACCAAGGAACCGCTGGCAAAGCTGTGGAGGCTGATTAACAACCTGAAGCTGGCCAGTGAGTTATAAATAACAGAGGAGCACAATAGATCTTTTTAGGTCAAGGTGCAGTAGGCCTTGTGGCCGCCTCTCTTATCCCTATCCCTTTCCCTAATTAAAAAAAATCAACCGTTAAAACTCAGGCAAAACTGTATTAAAAGTGTAGTAGGCAGCATAATGACAATGTTGAAAAATAAACATTGCAAATAATGGGTAGGTAATTAAAATTTTCCTTCAGTGAGGAGTGTTGAAGCTTGGGATGCACATGAATTCATGTACCGCAAGTTACCGCCAGGCTTAAGTATCGATACGTGTAGCGCTAGTTAAAAAGTAAGTGGGTTTTCGATTGAATTGAAATAACACGCTTAGCTATATTTTTGTAAGTTCGGTTTACTAATTATTTTTTCAGTTTTAAGATGTGAGGTGGTAAAAGTGTTAGATCTAAATCGATCTGGTCACCAAAGGCGAGAACATATGTCGTAGCCAGGTCAAAAATGACAGAAGTGTGTTGTGATGTAGGTTACACTTTGACTCAGGGCTTTTCTGCCGTAGTCAGCCGGAGAATCACTAGGTTTATCGACACGAAGTCCAGATATGAGCATGTTTCGAGGTCCGAAGACCTGCCTTCATAGACTTCAAGTCGAAAAGTCCTGCACATGGATTTTCCGTGAGCCGGAGGCTCTTTCCTCTGGTTTTTAACCCCTGGCCGTACTGGGCTGCAATATGTCGAGGCGGTACGAGGACAGACCAGCATGGGCTTATTGCAGCTACTGCCGGGACACGTCGTTTCTCACCAGTGACCAATTTATGAAGTGAGTTGTTGAAAATTGTCGGATGTATATTTAATTTTACGTTTCGCCCCCTTACTAATGCTACTAATCACAGTAGCAACATTATTTCTAACAAATACATTTATTTGGTTTATCATTTTTATTTACTTTATTAAATTCAAAGTTAAAATGTTTAATTTTTGCCTTTTAAACGAAGTAGATCTCAAACTTGATAAGTCTCCAACGACCGAGGGTAGGTCAAAAATAACAAAGAGGTTACATTTTGACATCGAATTTTCTGATAATTGATAAGAATGACATTCTATCACTTTTATCATATTTAATAGTTATTATTATTATTATTAATTTTTAAGGGCGTTTTAACGGCTAAGGACATTCACGCCCTAACAATTAAACCTTCTATCTTAGTTAACCCTTATATTTGGCCTTTATATCCCTTCTGAGTGCTATAAAACTCTGACTCCAAACATTCACCCATAAAATAATTATCCTATTGCCATCCAAAGCTTTAATTTATCCTTTTAAAATACTTAATTTGGTGCCAAATTTATGCAAAAAACTCATTTTCAATTATAAAATATATTCCTGTTCTTTAATTAGAAATTAGAATTTTTTCCATAATTTAAACATTTTTCATAGGGTTGGGTGGCCAGTAATAGTAATAATAATAATTTTATCTCAACCAATACCTTACATAGAGATTAATTAATTGAAAGAAGTTATTTGGTCAATCGGACCACGAAATCTAATGGATCTAATAAATGATAATAATAATAATGGAGTGAGACTAGCAACAGTCTCAGCATGAGTATAGGCCCATCGTTATACTTTTATTCTTCCATTTCAATACTATAAATACACTAATGCTACTTGATAATAATAATATTTTTTCCTTATTTAAATTGCGACATTGTAGTTTATTACCCCACAATTTTTTTTCTATATTCTTCCACTCTGGCGGCCTCAAAAATTTCTGGAAAAAAAATAAATATTGCAGGCAGAACTCTTATTCAAACACTTGCAGACAAATGCTCAAAGGTATAAGAATTTGGAAAAAGGCCTAAATCTCATTATAACTTCCAATAAATCTAAGAAAGCTGAAAAATGCTCTTCGAAACAAACATTAGGGACCAAGTAACTCCTTTAAATTACTTAAAATTAAATAATAGTTAAATTTATTATTATTGTTCAGCATCCAATGTTGTCCTGTAATGGGATAGGGAATCGACAAAAGACTTTAAACTCCCCGACAAAATTATAGGCCACACCCAATTTTTTTTCGTTAATCATACTTCTAGAAATCAAGGTTTTTATAAAAATGATTTAGGCACAAAATTTAAGTACAAAATTTCAAATAATAACTAGCTTAGTAATACAGTATTACTGTAATAAAAAAGTATATATAATTTAAAAAAAAAAAAACAACATGAAAATTCAATGTGACAACAATATAGGCCAGTTCTTTATTTTTAAGCGTATTTATTATTATACATTTGTTTTTTTATCTAAGTCAGTAGTGTGTTGGTCCTCCATGGTTCTCCAAGATTTCCACTAGTCTTTTTGGAAGGGATTTGAACATTTTTTGTATTTTTGTCGGATGTTGTTCCACTTTTCTACTGTGCAGACCTTGAGTTCCTCTATGTAGTTAAATTGCTTCCTTTGTGCACAACTTGACTCAATTCTCCTTAACAGTTTTTCATAATATTTAGATCTGGTGATCTGTCTGGCCATGGCAAAATATAAATATTTTTTTATTTCAAGGAAATGTTTTACTATATGCACCATGTGGTGTTGTCATACTGAAAGATGAACCTTCCTCTTGTCAGTTATCCTCCTTGTTCAACAATTGGATCATTAAACATCTCTATGTATTTCTGTGCATTTATTTTTACTGAAGAAAATTTTAATTCAATTTTCCTATAGTAAACAATCCCAGCCCAAACCATGACACCACTTCCACCCATTTGACGTCGGCTCAGCAGTACTTTTACCTTTCGTACGTTGTTAAAATAATATTGAAATCTCTCAGGACATCCAAATTAAAACGTTTTTCACTTCTAAAAATTACCCTTCCCCTCCTTTTTTTTCCATGAAACATGTTCAATGGTGAATCGCTGCCTATTGGCTTTTTGAGCCTTTGAAAAAGTGAGTCTGATTTGAGTTTCATCTACTTTAAATGGCAAGCTCTTTGTAGAATGCATTGGATATTTCAGACTTTCATGAAAACTCCAGCTTAGTAAATTTCTCTCGCAGAGGCTGCAAAATTAGAGGCTTGGAAAGGGCCTCCGTTCTCTAGTAATTGTTGCCATAAGCAATCATGTACTCTTTTCCCGGCTATAATCATTGAGCCATCATCATCACTTCTGATAGCGTTTTCTCTCTTCGCATCATAAAAATTAAAAAAAAAGATAGAATGAATGAAAGAAGGACTGTACTTTTGTAATTAACATTTTTTATATATTTTGGTTAAATTTTAATAATTCATACAACTAATAACGAACAAAATGAGGGGTGGCTTATAATTTTGTCTGGGAGTTTACTCGGAACCCCCACTTGTCTCAAAAGAAAAGACTGAACTTACATTATGAACTATTCAAAGGACTAGATAGAAAGATAGATACTTTTATTTACAACAAAAAGACTACTAATTTGTATTACTAACCAATACTACTTATTAATTTATACATATATACAAGCATATCCCTATGTCAGTCCTTATTCCTTATGTTTTAAGGTGTATTGCCCATGTTACGTAAGATTTTATTTTACACTATTTGTATAATTTTAATATTGCTGTGTTTGCTACAACTCCATAGTTGAATACATATGTCCATACAGGCTTTAGGACTTGTTTGCAAGTAATATTTTATTTTGTAAAGTAAGATTGGAGCCATGCCCTATCAACCAGTTATAACCCTATAAACCTATTAATGCCCTTTGTTTTCTTCACGTATTCTTTCCATCTCATCCTGGCATCTAAGGTCATTCCAAGATATTTTGTTGTATCACCGTATGTAATAGTTCCATCGATTGAGAGCGACGGAACATGGTCCAAACTTTTGTTTGTAAAGTTTATATGAACTGATTTATTCTGATTTAGCTTGGTTTTTATTTATTTTTTATTATTTCATTTTTATTTTTTTATTTTTTGTCTATTCATTTATCTTATTACAATCTTTTTGAAGGATTATGGTTGAGTGGTTGATGGTCAGTCCTACTGTTATCACCACTGTGTGCTCTGCAAACGTTGCAATTTTGACATAGGAATGCACTGTCAAGATTTCAGCCCTTTAGATCTGGGGCTTGGTCTGTCAGTCATGGAACTGTTCTATATACATAGATATATAAAAATAAACGAAGTTGCTCCTTAATAAAAATAAAGTATTGTTGTCTTGGTTCTAAGCCTATCTTTATATAATAACCCAAATAAATAGAACATTTGGTGAAATCATATTTTTTCTCGAGTTACAAAAGGAAGTGATTTATTCAAATCCTCTCAACGTTTCTTTATCTGAAAATTATTTCACCTGACTTTTAACATCAACAGATCCTCTCCTCTTGTACACCCTAAAGCTTCACCTCTCTTATTTAGGCTGGACCCTCTTATTACCTGAATATACCTAACATTACTGTGATCGAAGTGATTAATGCTTGTCCTAATTCAAAACTAGGAGCTTTTGAAACATTCATTCATTCCAGAAATGTTGAAAATTGTTCAATATTTGCTTGTATATCCACTAGATTTGAAGGAACATATTCAAAAGCTTTTTTTTAAATTAAACCATAATAATCTAATGTTGTTCCTTTGTGATACAAGGTGTTTCTTTAATCTTAGGTGTAAGATGATCTACCTCAATTTCTTCTCATAGAGAAATGATTTTGTTTAACGTTTTTCACTTCAGAGTGCACTTAGGCACTGCAGATAGCGTATGGAACAGTTTAATTATTAATTTATTTTAATTTTGAGGAATAATTTTAATTTAATTGAGGAACTCTATAAGCATTTGTTTTTATTCTATATACTGCAGTCACGAAGATTTCATTTTCTTTTATAATACTAATCCTTACAAGTTTAGCGGTCATAATTGACCTATTTATCACTTCAATTAATTACATTTTTTATCTAAAGTCTTGGTTGAGATGAAAAAGTTAATGTCACAAGTGAGATTCAAACCCATGACCATTGTCGCAATACACTGTTGCTCTAACCACCAGAATGATAGCTCAAGATAAAAAATATAATTAATTGAAATTTTCTTTTATGTTTATTTTTGTTTTATTTGCCTTGGTTTTATTTTGATTTTTTGTAGAATATATATCTTTGGTTTTTGAGAGAATTCCCTCGGTCCCCAGTTCCAGCAGACTGATTTGTTGTTTAAGAACTTTTTATTTACTGTAATGTTGAATTTTCTTTTTGTAAATAATGTTCTTTCTTCATTCATGTAAACTGTTCTACATTACAACATAATGCAAAAATAAATTTTTGTCAGAAATATTTATAGGAGATTAATATGTATATTTTATAATTGTCTACACCCAAAAGTGATATTCCTTTTGTATAATTATCTTTGTAATTGTATTAAATGCAAGTTTTAGCTGAATCGTTGAACCACAAATGATAAGACTAAAATATAATTAATCTGTATTTAAGGTATTGGTTGAGATAAAAAAAGTCAGTGTCACAAGCAAGATTCGAACCCACGACTTTCGGCTAAATATGCAGCTGCTCTACCACTTGAGCTATCGTGACTTCAATCCACTCGGACACCAACTTCCCATCTCAACCTCACCTTTTGAATTTTCCCTCCTTTTTGCCATTTTTCAAATATTGTGTATTCTATTTGATTCTCGACGACAAATGTGTGTGCGCTAGTGACACTGACTGTTTTATCTCAACCAATACTTTAAATTAATTGAAAGATATTATTTGGTCAAGTGGACCACAAAAGCTAGTGAATTTAATAAGTGAAATGAAGTATATCTTCACTAAAGCTCTCTATGGCCATTTCATTTGTCGCCGAGAGTGTCATACTATGGAGATGGTTCGTGGAGGAGAGTATTCCATGACAAATATTTCTTTATTTTGTACATTTCAGGCTGATTGGCCCATCCTTAGCAGCCCCAATGGGTCATTCCCAAAATCAAGTAACCATATGACAAATGATCACTTATCTAGCCATGCCCACAGTTGTAGTGTCAAATTGTTCATTGTACAGAAACTCATATTAGGGACCGATTTTGGCCAATGAGCCCGAAATGTACAAATTATAAAAATATTTGTCCCAGAACACTTGGATTTCCTTTTCTTCGATAATCAGCTAAATAAAATTTAAAAACTAACTATATTATATATTTGAGTAGGTAAGGTATGTATGTACAGATTTGAGCTAACATATCAAATCAATTCTTAAGTGCAGAAAACTGTCAGAAGTGTATAATTAGTGAAAGATCAGTTCTGTTTGTGTTTTCATCCATTTAACAATTTTTTAATTTATGATTGTTCTAGTTATTCTCAAAAACTTTGAAAATTTTATAGAACCATATTCACCAATTTGGTATAGTACAAATGCCATAAAACAATGTGCTCAATCTGAAAACCTTGATCCACTAAAGTATTATCAAAGTTTATTGTTCATTTATTGCATAAGCATTACAAAAACTCAAACGTATTTCTATCAATACGATTTAAAAACAGTAATACTGTGGTCTTAAGTTTTGGAATTATGAAAACAAAGGATTGAACCTTTCTTTCTACAAATAAAAGATAATTTGAAGAGCATAAAGTTTTATATCACTGACAATATGAAAGATAAGAAGTCGCAGCAAGTTAGTAAAAGGCCAGAAACATTCTGATGCATCTTTGAATTTATTGTTTCGTACACTTGTTCAGGATGGAATTTCTAGAAAAGATCTTTTACAAATTGTTACGCATTTTTGCTTAATTTTTTTTCTATGTACTTACTGTTTTATAAATTTTCCAGGCACCTGAGAAACGAACATTGTACAAAAGAAGGCGGGTCTTATGTCTGCCGTTATGGGGAAAATAATGTTTGCTGCACTCTCCCAGTCGAGGGTGTGAGCGACCGGGACTATGAAAGGCATGTATATAAACATCACACAACAACAATGCCATTCTCTGGAATGTCTAGGAAAGTATCAACATCGAGCAACAGTAGCGACAAACCATATCCCAACCACAGCTGGACAAGCTGTGCAGCCCAAAATCTTCCAGCTGTACTGAACGATCCAAATAAAGGAAAGCAAGTATGTAACAGTTTAACTGGTTTTTAAATTACATTTGAATTTATTTGAATTTGAATATGCAGAAAGATTTCTTTACTAAAACATGGGGCGATATCTTTGTTGAAATAAACTCAGTTCCTGATCCGATATATTTACCTCACATCACAATTCGCCATTTTGAACATTATCTTAAAAGGATTGCAAAGGTACTACTTTTAAATTTGTTTTATTTCACTACTTAATTATGATTAATAGATGTATGAAATTTATTAATTTTTTTTAGAAACATAAGCGTATGAAAATTAACTCCAGTGTGCCAAAACCTCATACTCATGCTGAGTTGCTCCAAACGTTTCCTTCTCTAAGGATTGGAAAGTTTCCTGGTAAAAATTGAACAATCTCAGAAAATAATGTTTTTTTAATCTACCTTTTTTCCCCCTCAGAAAAAAATCATTTTGATATTAGTGTTATACCGAAAATATTTTTGCAACCTAATTTTGATTTGAGTAATGAAGAGACGTTTAACGCTGTTTATACTCAAGCTATCACTTCATCTAATACTGGTAAAACTGAAGGTCCAATAACTAACATTTCGCCTAAACTTCTACAAGAAAAGGTAATTCCACTCCACTCTGACCTCAATAATATTAAATTATACCTCAGTATTAAAATTTGTTCTGTGTTGCAGTTAAGTCATTACTTAGATATGGTGGAAGTGCAAATTGCTCAACAAGTAGCCCAAAAGTCTGAAATATTTTTACATGCGATGACATCTCATGATGTCCTTATGGAACAACTAGGTCAAACCGTGTCAGTCGTTAAAAATTTTAGGTAAGATTTTAAATAAGAAATAAAAATATTTTGGAATAACTATATAGCATAGCTAATATCTATCTTAATTATTAAGATATATATTAATAGTTTCATATGGGGCAAAAATAAAACCAGCACATTTAGGGATGGTGAAGCCAATATTTCTTTTATTATTAACAGCATTGAATATTTTTGTTTTCTTATTTGTAGATTTTTAGTTTTGTAATGAAGTAATACAACCTTTTTGTTTATATCTATGCATTTCAGGGCTGTATCCTGCCCTTCTTAAGACAACTCTGCCGGAGTTTACAACCCCGGACAGAGTTGTCTGAAGAAGTGTAGGAAACAGGCTCAAAATGCATAAATGAAAACCAAAAGGTTATATTACTTCATTTTAAAAAAATCAACAAAGAAGAAAGCAGAAAACCAACCAATAAAAAAGAGCTGGAGAATAACACCTTTTTTCTTCTAAAGCAAGGAACACACCCGATGTGGCATGACCTGATGCTACCTGACGCTTGTCTCATTTCGGTAGGGTGTGCACATCTGTTTGACGTCAAGCACACGCCACATACAGTCACACAGCGAATATCACAAATCAGTGCCTCATTTGTTCTTGTTTTTAAATAAGTTAAAAGACTGTATTCGACGCTACTCAACAAAAATCTGGACAGTTGAGAACTTGGTTGCATCATGTACTTGTAGAGTTGGGTAGCGTTGCATGGCATCGGGCAGATGTGCACGGGGGTGGTCTTATGAAAAATTGGACATTGGATTTGCGTCAGGTCACATCGGGTAGCGTTGCATCAGGTAAGTTGATCAGCCGATAAGACCCATAGCCTTTTAGTTTTCTAACAGTTTAGTTGGTTGTTCATTCAGCATGCGGTGTGATGTGAGTGCACACATCCAAGCACTTTTAAACGACAGGTTGGATAGGCCAACCCAATTACCTTCCAACTCAAAATTGGCCAGCCATCAGCAGACTAGTTATTACTATGTGAGTGCGCCCGCTTACCAACTACCCAATGGCGATCAATGTGAAATTATCAAGCTGTTTTGTGATAAATATATTTAAAATTTAAAAAACTGGTTCGTGAATTTTATACATTTGGAAAACAAAATATTATCAATCTATCTTTTTTTTAAATAACCGTGCTTTTATGATTATCAAGTCCGTTTACCTCTTCTTATTTTCCCTCAGATTGCCAGGCAATTCTATATGGCCTCTTTTCATTTATAATAAATTTATGGTCATAATTTGAACCAATTGTGGTGCCTCTAGGATACCCCTTTGGGCATTCATATCTCAATAAAAGAATTTAAAAAAATCCCATATGAAAACAAACGACAAGAAGTTTGTGCTGTTGTTGAAATTGAGTAAACGTTTGGTAGAAATTTTGGACCAGCCTACCAAAGAGTTAAGTTGGTCCAATGTGTGTGAATGCGACTAAATGGCCTAAATCTTTATTTTGCAATGACCCTAATTATTCAACAACTCAAAAAAGTTTCAAGTTTACTTAATTATTTTATAAGAATGTTCACATTTACACATATCACATTATTATGATGGTGATAAAGCCAAAATTAGATATGTCACTTTTGTTCTTTTGGATACTTTTGTGCTATTTTTAAGAAGAGCAAACATTATTTTTTAAAGTAACCTTGATGAACTCAGCCATATTACTTTTAATTCTTTTTTGTATTGACATCTATACATTACAATTAAAATAAATGCAATATATGTACATACTGTAACAATAATTATTAATTTATCTCCTAGGGAAAAAATTCAAAGGGTAGATAAAGGCTTAGTAAAAGACCCATTACTTATCTTGAAAAATGAAAGATGTCGGAGAAATTATCAACAAGTTTATCACAAGGTAATTTAACAAAACAATATATATTAAAAAAATAAATAAGGTTGAATACAAGTATCATTTTTGTTGCAGCTTAATATAATGTCAGTTGTAATAAAAACTCAACCTTCTATTCAGCTATTGTTATCAAGCCCTGATTATGTCGGGGCTCTTGATTTAATATATTCAAATAAAGAATTATTAAAAGAAGAACTAGCCGATATTCACAGTTTTAGGTTGGTTTATTATGAATAAATGTTTAATATAAATGTTCTATTTTTTATGCATTTATATTTACAGGCACTTGAGTTCACAATTGTCAGAGATGATTCAAGTGATTGAAAAATTAATGGCAGAAGAATTTGAACGCTATTGCACTTCTGATTTGAATCGTCCTTTTCTCGATAATGAATGCGAAGTTGTGGAAAGTGTATGTTTCCAATAGTTTTTCTTTTCACACAATTAAAGATTTGGTTGTCTAATTCCTTATATTATTTTAACAGGAAAAATTGACCTGCACAGTTATGGGGATGCTCAGGAGTGGTAAATTCGATTTTACAGACATGTACGAAAAAGAAATCAAATCTGCCATCAAAGCAGCCATGAAGCAAGCTGTCATAGAAATAGTCTCTGTTAGAGATTTTTCTGAAGATCTGAGTTTAGATGAACAGCTGAAAGCTCTCTCTGTTGAAGAATGGATTTTATTACTTTCAAATACCAGCAAAGTTCTATTAAGGCTTTTAAGAAGAGTCAAAGTACTTATTTAATTAAATTAAGTATATATGTATTGTTTGTCTTTTTTACATGTTCTTACTTGCAGAAAGGAATAGAAATAATGGAAGCAGCTGCTGATATTAGTGCTGGAACACCTTCTTCTGAAAGTGATTCTCTAGATTTGATTATGTAATATTGTTATAAATAAAAAATATATAATTTGAAAGGATATATGTTAATTTTAATTTTATTTTAGAATTGAGTCTGGGGACTGGATATTGTCAAATGAAGATCATAAAACTGTAAAGCAAAAGCTTCACAAACTTCTAGTCACTGTGTGTGAGTACTCTCAAGAAGGTTGCGCCCAGCTGCTGTCTAGTCGAACACTGATATGGAGAGAGTTAGTGAAATTAATTATATCTAATTGAAGACCAGATTAATAAAAAACAAAAAATTACAGTTTCAGAGAAGAAAGTAAGTTACCAAATGCTTCTTACTGGCTGGCCGAACATGCTTCGCTATCAAATCTTAAAGAACTCGCTGCCCTTGTTACCAGGGCTTCGGATGAATGGGAAGAACTGTGCCCTGTAAAAGAAGCATTACCACAAATGGTGTTCCCTTTGAGACGGGCTTTTAAAATACAGGTAAAAAATCATGTTAAATTTTGAAATATGTTGTCTGTGGAGTTATGAGCCTATAATTTGATTGTTATAGAATATTTTGGCCTGCCTTTCTTCACTGTGTTTTTCACATACGTGTTTTGCATCTTCTGTAACAACAGTCAGATTAGGCAGACCAAAATGATCGTTTACAAATCCTCTTAAACGAGTTTCTTAAGTGAACATTTTTTTCTTCCAGGCAACGAAATATATGAAAAAATTTCATGAGGTCATGAAAGAGAAACTGTCTTACATTCTTGATGCTGAACCATGGAGAAGGACTGATGTTCCAGCTTCATTTCAAAAGCTTGTTGAATTAATTTCTGAAAAAGGTGATTATTTTCTATTATTTATTGAAACATTTGATGCTACAATTTTAAACAAATGTCAAAAAAAGGCAATTGAGGGACTATGTGGGCCAAGTTTGCTTTATTTTTTTTTTTTATTTTTTTTTATTTTTTTATTTTTTTTTAACGAGGGTTCGCAACAGCAGAGGTCATATAAACCCTCAGGGTGCCGGTGTTTTTTAAAAAAAGCCCATTTGTAAGTATGTCGGGTTCGAATGCAGGGCCGCTGGATTCGAACCCGGGACCTTTACCTTACAGTGATGAGCGCCGTGTCAGCGACTAAACCTTGCGGCCACCGACGCCCACTAGTTTGCTTTAAAAAAGGCATAACAATTTTTATTTATAATTAATTGTATTTATTAACAATTTAACAACATGCAAAATACGGCTTACAAATTTTAAAAAGTATTCTTACTAACAAGGGAAGATACAAACATGGGACCACCTATTTTAAAATTTTATGGTTGATTCTCAGTCGAAAGATAATAGTCACAAAACTGAGCATTCTTGCCAATGGAGCCCTAGGAGCTAAAAGAAAAAATATTTAATAATTTTAATTGATAATTAACTTTTTTTGCTAATAATAATAATAATAAAATATTTCAACCTACTTGCTATGTCGTTGCTTGTTAACACATTACATATTTCACTAGATGTCTACAATAACTAAAGAGCGACATTATAAAGAAGGATAAAATACTCTTCAACAAGAAACAAAATAAATATTCGTTTTTTGCACCCCCAAAAAACACTGAATACAATTTTTCGGGAAAATCAAAAACTTCAGTTTTTTCCTTTTAAATCCTCTGATTTTTTCCTAAATCACGAAAATGGTGATAATTTTGTAGCGACTGGATTGAACCGCATGGGATTTTACAGGCATTTAGAACCCTAGAAACTACTTCCTCAAATTGGGCCTCCGTAAATAAATCAGGACCAGATATGCAAAATAAAATGTTTCAGTGGTTTTTGTTGATTTATAATGATCTAAAATCTAAACATTGTTGGCTTAAAGTAGAGGGATTTTATAATATTTAGTGACCATTAAGTAATGATTACTTAGAGATTGTAAGACACCAGACCGCATCCCACGATCTTTAAATAAATAATCACTATTTGACATTGTTCAAGGCGCCCTCATTATGCTAAACAGGTAAGACGTGTAGGTCTTGCAAAAGTATCGCATTGCCCAAAATTAAACAAAGGTTTTTTTCAAAAATAGGAATACTTATTCTTAATCATTTACTGTTAGGATGCTTAAACTTTCTGATGGTTGTAATAACCTATAATTTTAATAATATCCAGAGGAGTTACTAAATTTTAAGTGAATCACCAGACAAGGGGAAAAAACAAATTACCACCCATCTAATCCAGCTCAAAAACAGCTTTTTTTAAAAATGAAAATTCAGATTGAAGGGTTTTAAGGGGTACTCAAAAAAAGATTTGAATTGTTTTCAAAAAGATTCTTTTTTGTCTACTTTAGGGGAAACTCATTTGCGTTTGCTAACTTTTTGTATATCTACTCTCATTTAATATGATTCAGCATATTATTTTCTTATCCTACATTTTAAAAAAGTCATCCGATATGGAATTACCTTGAAATAATATACAACGATGATTAAATTACTTGTTTTTTATTCTTGACTCCTTAGGGCCCATTGGCAAGAACACTCAGACACACGTTTAAATTTGTTGACCTAGTGATATAGAATCGACTGTCTAGTAATCGATTATTGTTTATTTAGCTTGTAACCAGCGTGATCATTTTGTAGTGTGTTGTTTCTGTACGTACATGTATTTCTTATGCTAATTAAAGCCTTAATTTCTCATAAGGTGTTTTCAATTATAACACCTAGTACCACCAAAAAAGTGTCTTTAAAATCAGTAATCCCACATCTGTAGCCTCTCCTTATAAATGCTTGGGCTAAACTCAATGGGTGGTTATGTATAAAACCCCTCAGATTTACTTTATTGATTAATTAAAATTTATGTTAGGTCAAATCTCCATTGAGCTGTTTCTTGGTATTCAAAGATGATATGTGTGACTGTTTCCTCCTCCTCATTGTACAATCTGCAGATGGGATAGGGGAACAGGGATAAGAGAGGTGGCCACAAAGCCTACTGCACCTTGACCTAAAAAGATCTATTGTGCTCCTCTGTTAATTATAACTCATTGGCCAGCTTCAGGCTTGTGCTTTTTCTTGTCCTAGTTGCAAGAACCTGCACCTACATAGACCTTCACAGAACATAAAATGTGTTCTGTGTACTCCTTGCAGATGGGAACATCGTTCTATATGCCCATGTTGTGTAGATGTTTTCTCAGAAGCCAGTGAGGATGTTGTAAAGAATGTTTCTGGGATCATATACCCAATTCTAAGAATGGGTGTCTGATTTTTGTTAATTATGGCTTTTTGCCCAATTGTTTAGTTCCTATCCAACTTGATTGTTTTTGGAATGAGTTTTTCCTAGTCTCTCCTTGTATAAATGTTTCCATTGGAGGTAGGTTTAGCAGTTTCTAGTGCACTTGTAGAGGTTGTTCTCATTGCCCCTGTGATACATAGGTTTGCTAATCTTTTTATGCTGCTAATGATTGAGTAGCTACTTTTTGTTGAGCCTGTCAACCATATTAGGTTATTTTGGGTCTTATTACTGTCGTGAATAACTAGTGGGCCATTTTAAGTTTTAATCACCAAGATTTGCCTAGGGTTCTTCTTGTGTTCATTAGCAATAGTTGACTATTTGCTGTGATATGCTGCCGGTGAGGGTTCCAGGTAATCCTGATTACACTTATATTTGAAAATATATCAAAAAGAGGGAAAATTCAAAATGTTGTAGGTTGAGTTGAGTTGTTGTCCAGGCAGATCAAAATCACTGTAACTCAAGTGGTTAGAGTAGCAGCATATTGAACTGAATGACGATGTCTTGAATCCAGCTTCTAATCACTAACTTTTCATCTCAACCAAGGCCTTAAATTAATTGAAACTATTTCCCATTGTTCACGGCGCACTCATTATGCTAAACCTTCACGACGGGTAGGTCTTGCAAAAGTATTGCATTGCCATGAATTAAACGAAAGATTTTTTCCACTATTATTTGTTAATTTTTGCTTTTAATTTTATTTGTAAGTTTCTTCTTTCTTTTCTTTCTTCTTTCTTTTTTTTCTTAATTTCTTCTTTATTTATTGTTTTTCCAATTACACTCTTCAATTTAAATTTAAATTGTGCATATATTTCAGGAGGGCTTTATAAATGTTATTATTCTCTGCAGCAAATCTCTGTAATGGAATGGTTTCTCTACATCTCACATTCTGTATAGGTCATTGAAAATTATTGATCTGTGAGAATAATATTTGTTGCAGTGTTGTTATTATTTCTATTCGGTGGACATTAAATTAACCGGCTAATATAATAGATTTTGATAGAATTTCAAAAAATTAACCCAGCTTTGCTTAGAAATATTGTTAGTTGGGTGTTACATATCGCAAAAATTGATAGGGGTTTTGTATTTTTTAGTTAGGAATCCCTGTAACCATTGTGTTCTCTAAATGATATTGTATATTTGCTGTTTTGAATAGGAGGTTGGTTTTTAACAAAATTCCTGCCCCTGTGTATCCATTTTCTTTATTTATTGCACCTAATGAACTGAAAGTAATGGAATCTAACATTTTTATTTGGTATTAACCAGGATTACAATGTTAATAGGCATGAGTTCTACTATGTTCTCCAGATTTCCCTTTTTTATGTGTGGGGCTTTCATTGAATAATTCTTAATTTTTTATTAGTACTGAATTAATATTGTTGTTGAATTGATATGAGATTAATATATAATTGTGTGTTTATTTTATTTTAATAATTTACATTACTAGTGTTTAATTTTATTTTAATAATTTACATTACTAGTGTTTATCGAACGAAAAATCGAGTTTGATTTTTCCTTTATTAAGTTATATAGTGTTAGGCCTATTTTGTCAATAATTTCCATAATATTCCATTGAAGATGGTTTTCTCTGTCAGAGCTAGTTTGGACAATTATAAATTGTACTTCTCAGCAGGGATTTAATTCAAACAGTTTGTGGGCATTGGAGGAAGTTTGAAGAGTTCTGGGTTTTTCTTTCAGGTAGTTTTCAGAAGTGACCCCTTTTGGTGGCATGTTGGACTTTTTTTTCTCTCTCTCTCTAACAACTCTACATGTAGGTGTTGGTGGAGTTAGTGGGAGGAAATTGTTCTGTGTTATTTTTTTGGGAGTTCAAATCGTGCTGAAATATATTACATAAAAATAAATTGGTGCATTTAGTTTTAAAAAAATTACATTTAAAATATATTAGTAAAAAATTACTTAATTAATTATACACAATTTTTTAATGAAAAATTGGTGACAAGTGGGATTTTTTAATTTAATTAATTATACTTACTTTAGGTCTTGGTCAAGATAAAAAAAGGATGTGATACAAGCGGGATTCGAATCCACGACCTTTTGCTTAATATGCTGCTGATCTAACCACTTGAGCTCATGTGATTTCGACCACTTTGAGAGTATTGAGCCAAAAGTCATGGGTTCAAATCCCACTCATGATATTAGCTTTTTCATCTCAAGCAAGAACTTAAATAAGAAGTATAATTAATTCAAATGTGTAGTATTTAGGGAATTGAAGATGATCTCAATAAAACTGGAAAAATTGGCACGATAAAGAAAATGTTTTTCTGAACCTACATTACACCAAACCTCATTTCATGATCTATAAATAATCGTTAATTAAAATTATTATTAAGTGACAACCAACCAGAAAATTGTGAAAATCACCTACAACTTCTTTTTAACTTTTGCAGAAAAATATTAATGTTTTATTAAGATTTTACCAAATTTTATTCTTTGCAAGTATTGCAAATTATGTTATAAATGATGTGTATATGAGACAATCAACATAATTTTTTATCTAAAAGCAATAATTATTTTATTTTTTACAGGAACCTTTTCAGTAAGTAAAGAAATTACTGAATCAATAAAAAAAGATGGGAAAATATGTGTGGAAAACGAATTAATTATCAATGGTGAAAAATATGCCGTTGTTGGGTATGTATAGTTTTTATTTAATATTCTTTTGCAAGGACAATACCATTTATTTTCTTCAATTTCAGAACTGTTCTCATGTTAGTTAATATTGTTGCCGAATATTGTTTGCACGCTGAAGAAATCCCGTCTTGTGCAGACATTTTACTTAGAAATTTAAGAGATCTCCTGACAATGTTCAACTCGAGGTGCGCCAAATTGATTCTTGGAGGAGAAGCGATATCAGACAGAACTGGTCTTAAAAAAATTACATCCATCAATCTTGCATTACTTTTCAGAGCATTGCAACTTCTGCTTTGGCTTATACCTCATGTCAGGCTACATTTTAAAAGTATTTACAATTCAGTAGAATATTCAGTTCAAGTTATTTGATAGATTGGTAATGTGTATTGTGTTATTTAAAGATTTACTAGGAGAGAACCTGAAAGATAATTTTGATGACATTATCAAGGAGATTAAAGACCATTCAAATGATATTAAAAAGAGACAAATCAACATTCTCAACACATTAATCATGGTCGAGCTCAAAACCTGGGCTGCCAAACCACCAGTCCCATCTATGTCATTTAAAAATATTTGCAAGTAAGCATCGTTTTGATAGATTTTTAATTTTTTTAATATCAACTTCTTTAATATTAGAACTTTTAAGGCATATCATAAAACTTCATGAAGCAGTTTCTGATATTCTGCCTCCAAATCAAATCCAAGAACTGTATAAAGGTGTACATGCTGGTTTTAAAGAAATATTGAGTGAAAGACTACATAAGATGAATATAGTTAATGATGGATCTCCCAGCCATGGGTAAATACCTTGTTTTAATTTATCGACTTCTCAGTTTAATTTTAGCATGCTATTTATATGGGGTATGGGTTCTTATCCTGCCTGCTAACATGACACTTGTCATCCCTTTTCTTAAAGCAGCGAATATACTTACCTTTCTCTACTAACCCTTGGATGTAAAAGGAGTCTCCCGGCAAAAAATGATGCATACAGCACTGGCTACCCAACATTTTGAATACCAACATAATTTCAATTTCAACAATCCAAAAATATTAAACACAGAACAAAACAAACGTAAATGTAACTTTTTAGAAGTGGTTTACATCAGCAGAGATAAACACAGAATTAATTACAGAACAGACACGTGTAAACTCAGCCACAGCTACACTAATATAAATCAAATTTGATATTAATAACATACATATAACACAACATATAAAATAATCATTACACTCTATACATCAAACAATTGTACATAGTCTCAATCTCCGAACGACCAACCATTACCCCTTTTTTCCATTGTCAGTCCCTTTCGCCTCAGGAATGCCACCGATTATGAGAATTGTGCTTGACCAGGACAGCAAGTATTTAGGACCCCTAAGATTCTTGAAGTAATAGCCCTTAGAGCTGGATGAACAAAAGTCTGACCCCGGACTGTCAAAGCATCAAAACAGGAGAAAGTTCAATACTGTACAAATACGCAGAATTACACATAAATAAATCAATCATGATATTTATATTATGCATTAACATATTTGCTTTTAAGTTAATTGAAAATAAATGTTGTTTATTTAAATTTCAGTTTGGTAACATCAGAGCTAGTTTTTTACCTGCAGGATTTGAAGAAAGTTGGCGGTCTTCCACCTGAACACCTAGAATTGTCAGCAATGAATGATATCTGGCTGAACAATTACTCGTCATAAGTATTCTTTTATTTATTTATAAAATGTGTCTCGATCTTTCAAAACCTTTTAATGCATTACATTCCAAGAAAAAGAAAAAATTGGATATAATTGTTGTATTGTTCACTGTGTGAATTTGTATATACATATAATTTAGACATGGTTATGTCCACCACAGTATACTTTCAATAATTGTAAATATCTATATATAAAAATAGACTATTTTACTTATTAAAAGGTTTGTAAATAAATATTGTATTAAATTATTGAACACCATGTTTAGTTTAATTAAAACAATCATTATAAATATTATATATTGTTAATGTTTATTGTTAAATTTTATAAATTGAGATATCGTTCTCAAAAACAAAATGCATAGTTTCTGTTTATAATGTAATGAAAGATAATCAATGGAAGGTGTGTTCATAAAAAGTTTTCATGAATAATATTAAATATTTGTAGTTTCTTTGTTTCAATTAATGTTCAATTACAGTTTTAAAAATTAAACAGGAACTAAAATTGTTTTGATGTTCTTTTAAAAATCCCTTTAGTTACTTGCACAGGAAGATAAAGTGTACTGTAATAGAAAAGAAATTAATTTAATTACTGGCTTTCCATTTAAAAGCTTTCATTAATGCACTAAATTTAGCATTTAGTTAAAATTATTTTCTTCTCATATAATACTGTAAGCTCTATGTTCTCATTGCTAAGCGATAAGAAAACATTCAGCATTCTCGCTTAACTACTTTTTGTGCTGGAGAAGGTACATCCAAAAATACAATAAAACAGAGATATATTCATAAACATTTATTGTTACACTGGCCTCTCTTAATGGTTAATGGTAACATTAACTTCAAGGTATAAGCCACAACTCTAACTCTGCTTGTACACGAGAGGACTTACCCCAAACAATGCTCGCCAACACTACCTTCTATAACATCCTGGTTCTTCTTCCCACACCTTCCTGGGTCCTCGACAGTCGACTCTATTCATCTTGTTGCAGTGACTGGTCCTTGCTGGACTGAGTCATCAACTTGACTGGAGTGAGTCTTCAAGTTAACTTTGCTTTCCAAATCATTCCCTTTTACTTGACTTACCAATTTCCCAACTAGAGTAAGGGGGAAAGGAAAAGCAAAAACAGAATCTGGTGATGTTTCCATTAAGCAGCCTCCTGGTCCCATGCCAATGGACATTCGGTGAAGATGGATATCACCCGGCTGACGACTCCAAATTTATGATGTCCCGTAACTGGAAGAACACTTTTATTCCCACACTAAATAACTCCTTGATTTTCATTATTTAATGTTCGTCTATTGCATTCCTACAATCTCCAATTTGTGGGAAACGTCTCTTTGCTCCCTACTGGGTGGGCGACCCATCAAATTTACTTATTTAGAACATATGTTTGATATTCCTTACCATTTTTAACTTATTTTAGCAACTGTTCCTAACTTATTCTACAACCATGACCAGCTTACACGTTTTATATCCTTTTAACCCTTTATTTTAAAATGTGGATATATTCTAAATATAGTAAGGTAAGAAGGTAAGTTTTTGAAGTCTCAAACAATTTTAAAAGACTCAAAGTGAGAGTATGAATTTTTATTCTCTCCTCCTAATTAATTTATTTTTAAATGGATGTAGTAAACAAGCAAGTTAAAATAATGAGCTTACTGAAGACGACATTCTGTTTAACATGTTCCCATGTGCTCACAGACCAACAACCACCATCATCAGCTATAAAAATAAATATTATATTCTAAATTAAAAAGCTTGCCTTATCTGCAATATTACATAAATTGGAAATTCAATCGTTTGTTCAAATTCAGAATTTTTTCACACAACTATGGTGAATCAACATAAAAAACAAAATGTTGATTGATCAAACAAAGAGGTAGAAAAATAATACAATAAATACAAAAAATAGGACACCCTTAATGAAAATGGCTTAATTGCCACTGATCCAACCTTGCCTTTTTTTTAATTATTAAAAAATAAAAAGTACTATTTGTTATATGAAATGTAATCATTCTAGATTGGTACACTGTTCTGTGATAAAAAATAGATAAATTGATTTTTTTCCAAACACCGTAAATAAAATTAATTGAACTTGAACTTTTTTTTATTCCAAATTATCAACTCTTGAAGTTAACTAATTGATTAATTAACAAAGCAGGGGATACAATCTCATCAAGATGAAAGCAATTATTTACATCAGCTATATAGTGATCTTTTTAAGATTGTCAAAGATGTGAACTGACAATTTCCAGTCAATTTGGAATTTTCTATTTGTCCAAAGATACATCAATTTAGAATTTTGCTCAAATCAAATAAAGTATAAGTCCTTGAAATAATGCCAAGAAAAGGAACTTTAATCAGCTTGCATTTTTACATTAAAATAATATATTTAAAATAAATCAATCAAATATTAATAACTTTATCTGAAAAAATGAAATTACATTAAAACACATTTTCAGAAGGAGAAGATGCGCTAATATGAACCAGAACTAGTTTTAATCCCTTATAATATTAAATCCATTGTAGGATGATTTTTGAATAGTCTTCTCATTTGTGAAAGATACGTTTTCAATTAATGACATTGGACTTCCAGTATTTTTCAACCAACTTTTCCTAAGAAAAAATAAAAGGTTCTTAGTAAAAGTTATACCAGAGTAACAAACTACTCACATGTTTTCAATTGCAGACGATTCCCCTTCCAAAACCCCAATTACGGTGCCACGTGAAGTATTTTGGACAAATCCGTTAAGTCCAAGTTTATTTGCATTTTCTTGTGTGTACTGTGAAAACATGTTAATAATAAATTTTATTGCTGAAACCAAAAATAAGATGTACTTGCCTTTCTAAAGAATACCCCTGGTGGAAAAAAACAAAAATATAAATTGTTAATTATAAAGAAGATTTAAAAAAACATTAAAATAATAAAGTCCCATTTATCTATGCGTTTAACGAAATTATTATTAGTTGTGTAAAATTGTGTAACTATTTTTATATCAATTAATTGCCTTTCTAGGACTTAAGATTATTTATCTTATAGCGCACCATGAAAAGACTTGTCTAATTGTTTGGGGATGGATATTCTAATTGAAAATCATAGGGTAACAGATCTACCAAAAGAAAATTCTATCTATTGGAACATATGAAATTGTCAATGAAAGTGTTAATTAAAATTATTAGCCAAAAATATCTCTAATCATCAAATTATGCCTCACTTTGGCATTTACTCTTCTTCTACCATGCATTTGTATCTTCACTTATAGAAATTAAGTACCTACGATGAGGCAAATTCTTAAAAGATTGATTAGGAAAATTCTTGTTATCAAATTCTCCACAGTCTTTGGCAATCTTGGGACTGAGTCAGTCTTAAAAAATATTTGAAACCATCATTTATAAACTTAATTATGTTAATTTGAAGACATCATTAAGATTGTTTTGTCCTGATATACTTATATAAAAGCTTGGCAGATAATAATTGGATTTGTTTTTTCATCAAGGTCATATAGATTATTTGTCAATAAAATTCTTGTTATTTAAACAATCGGGTGAATATGAGAGGTGTGTCTATTTCTTAAGATTTGGATGGTCAACATGTGGATGAGCTTTGTCTTGAAGCAGTTCGGTGAATTATTTATTTACTGGACTTGAAAACAGTTTTTTTAAGTAAATGGATTTACAGTTTTACAACCTTAAATATTAACAGGAAAACATTCAATGCTGATTGATTTTTATATATTTTCTGGGAGAATAGGGAGCATGAAAGTATAAGGAGAATTGAAGCCAATAGCCTGACACGCTAACCACTTGGCTACCAAAGACCCTGAAATTTTAGGATTTAGTACTTCTAAAAGCAAGGAAAGGCAAGTGTTCAAATATGAAAGTAATAATTTTTTCATCTCACTAAGTGTTCAAATGGCCAGAAGAGTTAATAAAAAACATGAAAAACCCATGATAAAGTGTTTAAATTTACACAAAATATTGTGTCATTGAAGTTGTTTGATATCTATATTTTCTTATTCCCTCATTGTACTTATTATTAACATCAATGACAATTGGTTGCAAAACTTACCTTGTACTTTACCGAAGACTTCAAAATTCACAGATTTAAGTTCAATCATAGTTAAAGAACAAATTACTTTCAAATAATTTGTTCAGACAATACTACAGTAATTAAATGTAGCAAATGACAATCTATTTTACAAAAATTCACGTGTACATGACATCCATTTAGATGAAATGATAAATCAAAGAGAATTCATAATTGCAGAAGTTTCCTTTCTGAACTCCCTAGCCAGTAATTGACTAGGTCTGAGTTAAATTTAAATACAAGTTTGTGCCAGGAGAAGTGAATGGCCGTTTTTGCATGGTTTTATGGTAATTAATTAATCATCCATGCATACAAAGCAAGCAAAAAATAACATGAGGACTTTACTTTTGATGTTATATTATATTGTATTTATTTATTAAACAAAAACAGAATGCATCTATGTATTTACTTTAAAAAAAGGAAATAATTAATTTAAAAAATGGAAGTGAACTTTTAGTTGCTATTCCTTATCCTTCCATAAGAGCATTTATCAAATCTGTTTAGTTTTTATTTTAGTTTAGTTTTATTTTTTTAGTTAGTTTTAGTTTTAGTTTTAGTTAGTTTTAGTTTTAGTTTTATTTTAGTTATTTTAGTTTAGTTTTTATGATGAGATTTATGATTTATTTTATTTGCTGGCTCATTCCAACCATCATGATTTATATAATTTGTATGCAATGGGTACAATAGAGTAAAATTGCGCTTTAAATCCATTTTTTCTATTCATTGTTTATTTTCTTACTTTTGCTGATTTATTAATAATAATTTAGTGTTTCAAATTACTTTAAAGTGAAATCTGAATGACTTTTGTATGTGATCAGAAATGATATTAGACAAAATACTGTCGCTGTTTTAAATCTGTAATGATGATCGGTCAGAATTTGTTATCTCACCTAGACGTTCCACTTGTACAAACCACATAAAGGCACCAACCATAGATAAAATGCACTGGCACCAAAACCTTAACATTTGCTCAAAGGTTAGCTCCTTTAAAAGTTAGTCATACATTTTGATATATTATATGAACCAATATATTTCAATTTATTTTAAATTATAAACCGGAGTTACAGATGATAGCTGCTATCTCAATGTTTCATGTCAAGTTGTGAGACTATGAGCAAAACATTAAAAAAATAATAATAATAACAAATAAATAAAAACTGTACAACTTTAATAAAAAATAAACAAATCCAAATTGCTGATCATCTTGATCTATCTGTTTTTGGTTGGTCTGTCTCACGTGTTTTGTCATCTGCCACCAGGCACAATGAAGAAGGCGAAATGACAGACAAGCCCAGTGAGGACAGGTAGATGAAAGTGATTGGTAATGGCAAATAACAGGTTTCCCATTTGCCACATAAATTTCATTTTTTATATTATTTTTTTTGCCATTTGGTTTGGAGCACAAATCTTTTGCTTTTGATAGTCCTAGTTGTGTAAACCTTTCTGAATTTGAAAGGTAAGGTTCAAATTACTGGTTCATCATCCTGTAGACCACTGGAAGAAATTTCACTTATTTGCAGGTTTGAAAAAAATTGGTCTGTCTGTATAAATAAGTATTTTACAACAGTCATCTTTGCACTCTTGAAACATCTCTTGAGTAAATATTATAAGTTAAATACAAAATGAAAAAATATAATTTAAGGTAAATAAAGGAAGAATATATAAGTAAAATGAATTAAAATGAAATAATTTATAGGAAAGAGAATGCTGCAACACACAGAAATTTTAAAGTGTTGGAAATAAATTAAGGTTGGATATATCAATTTGTTTTGAAAGATTGTTTCATAAAAATGATTTTAAATCCTTCAAACAAAATCAACGGTGTGATGTAGGTTTCGGAAAAACATTTTCTTTATCGTGCCAACGTTTCGATCTTTATTGAGATCATTTTCAGGGCTCAAAGTGTAATTGTCTTCTGTGTAATTGTGCCATTCTTGCGTGTCGTGTAGAGAGTGCCCTTTTTACAGATCTCCATGTGCCCCATTGCCTAGCAGCTTCTGCATACTTTTACATGAAGGGGATTAATGTTATTTTCCCCTTTTGTAGGCGTGCTGGGTATATCCCGTCTGTTCCTAATGCTATTTCTTGAATGTTCTGTGAATCCTCTATTTGTTTTTTTAATTTATTTATTACATTAAATCCCTGTTTAAATATGGATCATCGGTGTCTTATCATCTTAAAGAAAACAAAAAAAAAATCGACAATATTTTATTTAAAATATTTGCGATGGTACATCATAGTACATCATCAAACTTCCTTCATCTCGCCGCCAGTTCCCTCAACCCTTTTCTGCAGGAACACCGGACTACGTTTCGGGTGGGGGTCCAGACCTGCGCGAAGTGGGGCTGCCGAGTACCGTCAGCTGCCATTCGTCAATATACCCGCTCGGGAGCAGGAAACATCTCCTGGTCCTTAACACGCCGGTGTATTTGTCGTGTTCTGTCAATCCTCTGAGGAATAACTGTGATACCTTCACGTCAATTCCTCATTCACCTCTTTGTAAGTATTATTTTTAATATAATTTTCTTAATAAAAAAAATTATATATGTAAATGTGTTATTGTTTATGAAAGTAAAAATTGATTATTTATGTTTAAGTAATGAATCGCACTGTTTTATTTTTTCAGAATCTTGCTGAAGTTTGTGTTGTGCTTTTAAAGTGCAGTGAAAGTGTTTTCAGTGAGTGTAGTGAGGTGCATAACAGCCATGTGGCTGCCTTCAGCTCTACTATTCGGGCTCTTTGCCTTTGGTAAATATAAATGCTTTTACCTAATAATATTAAGAAAAATGCATTAACAATTTTACAATATTCACCGAGATGGTTTCGCCGAATTAGACGTTAAACGATATTTTTTTCAAAAAACGATTTTAACGTTAAAAAAATTTCAAAATTTTATCGTGTCTGTGCTTAGACGACCTTGAATAGCTGGGTTGAAGTTTTCCCCAGGGTAAACAAATCTCTTGGTTGAGGAAATGTATAGTAAGGGTTCCTGGAAACGCCACCCTTGCTATCAAGCCAAGGATAAGTTTAAGTAACGGGGATGATGTCACCGTGAGTCATACGCATTGATTCAACCCCCGAACAATGAACCCCCGCATTCATACCTTCTAAATCACCACTCTTAATTTAAAAAAAAAATCTACCCCTATAATTGTATCAACCCCTTGCAATGTTATGCCACGTTCGAATTGTGAAATCGCTTATTCTTCTTCGCCCTTGATTTATTTATAATATTTTTTTTAAGGTACAGCAAGTATGGTCTTTCATAGCCTTCCAGGATCCAGGACCTGGATATTCAAAGGTCCACTCGTGGAACAGCGCAAGCGTTCCGGCACCTACCCATCTACCCTTAGTACTTTCGATAACAACTCGACTCCCTCGCCCATTATTTACTAATAGCACTTATAATTTCTATTAAAAAAACCACGCTTGTAAAATTGACGTCTATTTTACAATATAATCACACTGGAATATCAGAACGAAAATCACGTAATTATGGGGTTGTAACATTCAATCGTTACGTTTTATTAATTACTGTTATTTACCTATAAAACATGCTAATATTACAAATTTAACCATTTAAACCAAAGAAATTAAAGTACCATACACTTTTTTTCATATTTGTTAATGATTTTGTTTTCATTTTAAAAACAATACCTTGAGTACAACACGTTTGAAGAAATGTTTAACATTTATAATTTGTATAAAGCTGATTATTTATTTACGAAAAAATTTTTTATGATTTTTTCACGATGGATTAACTAAAAAATTTTTTACGGCAAATCCTGACATTCTTTGGGTGGAGGCTTGGGTTTGGGTGTATCACCCATTAGCCAACATAAACATTAGGGTTTTTTTTGCCCGTATTTTCCTGTTCACGTTATAAACGAGCAAAACTAAATTGATTTAGTATAAAGTTTAATCGTACACCTAATTTAAGTTCCAAGTCTGTATTTGCCACCCTCCAATATCCGTAAAATTTACCTACTGTCAAGGCGCTTATTGTAAACATAATCCATAATTTCCGTCTGAGGGTGAGACAGGAGACAACCAGAGAATCGAATCGGGATCCTTATCGGAAATTTTCTCTATCGCAGGCCCTTTCTCACAGAATTTACGATAATGAATTCCTGAGTTGCACCCTCAAGAAGCTCCAATAATTAAATTAAGTTAAAATAGTACTGGGTAAAAATGATTCGATATTTTTCATTAAATTTTCCTAAAAAAACAAAAATATTGTCTTACCTAATACATTTACAGAAAAATTTCCAATTATATGTACTTTTATCGACATAGCAATTACGATATACTTATTTTAATATAAGCCAAATTAAGCGAGATTAGAAATTCATGAGCTTTAATAAAAATTATTTAATTATGACAATTAAGGTTTTTAGTTGAGATGAAAAAAAGCTAATGGCACGAGAGGGATTCGAACCCACAACCTTCGCCTAGATACGCCGATGTTCTACCACCTGAACTATCGTGACCTCGATCCACTCGGATCAACTCCCCATCTCAACCCCACCTTATGAGGTTTCCCTCTTCTTCTTATTTAATTATAATGGTTTGAAAGAAAATTTACATAAAACACTGAAAAGTAATTTAGTGATAGAATAAATTGTTTGTTAAATTTTAATCTATCACTAAATGATTTTCCGTTGTTTAGGTGAATTTTCTTTCAAACCATCATAATTGAATATTTCTTTATTATAACCCATAAATTTCTGATCTTGTTTAATTTGCCCTACATTAAAATAAGTATGTTTGATGTAATGAATATAACGAAAAGTAATTTAGTGATAGAATAAATTGTTTGTTAAATTTTAATCTATCACTAAACGATTTTCCGCCGTTTAGGTGAATTTTCTTTCAAACCATCATAATTGATTTTTTTTTTATTATTGGGTTGTCCGGAAAATAATGCAGGATTTTAAGTTTTCATTAAAAAAAATCTATATAAAATATTCTGTTTACGTTTACAGGATTACTCATTTGTATGANGTATGGGAAATTATTTTGATTAAAGAACATTGCTTTAAAGTAACTAGTTTCTTTTTTTTTGTTTAATACCAAAATCCTGCATTATTTTCCGGACAACCCAATATATCATCAAGTTCTGATTTCGTTTAATTTGCTCTGCATTAAAGTAAGTATGTTGTAATGAATGTAACGAAAAGTAATTTAGTGATAGAATAAATTGTTAGCTAAATTTTAATCTATCACTAAACGATTTTCCGCCGTTTAGGTGAATTTTCTTTCAAACCATCATAATTGAATTTTTTTAAATTATATCTCATCAAGTTCTGATTCGTTTAATTTGCTCTATATTAAAATAAGTATGTTGTAATTAATATAACGATAAAAATACATACATATAGTATGAAATAAACAGCAAAATACGAGTGCCCGGTTTTTGTTTTGTCTTTGAGTGTATAATCGTACCATTATAAGTTGTCACAAGCCTTTGAGGGTCTCTGTATGTATACTTATCTGTTAACCTCTGGAGGGTAAAAATCCTTTTTGTCCGTTTGATCTCGCTTTGTGTTCGTTCACGGTTCCGCTTGAAATCTGATATTATTTTTGTTCTGAATCGCTCCCTTTGTGGCTTTCAAGTGAAACAGGACCTTTTGACGTGTTAAAACGTCAAAGTTCAAGTTTCTCCGCGTTATATTTTCATGGCTTTTTTCCCAACTTTTGTCTTTTGTATGTTGTCACAAGGCTTATTCTTAAAATTATATATTTCAGTGAATGTGCCCCTGAGAAAGGCTGAACAATAAAAAATATATACTTACTCTTTCTATATGTTTTACGATTTTAGAATTATTATAATTAGTGCATCCGATGACTCCGAGAAAATGACTGAGCCTTCGGTCATTTAGGCGAATTCCACGAGGCGTGACCGATGTTTCTCAGACGTCCCTGAAATTGACCGGCAACCTTTTAATTATTGTATTTTTTTAATTTGATTAAATTTGTTAACAAGAAGGAATTCTCTTCAACACTTATAAAGAAGGAATTCGATTGGAAAAAAGTTTACAAAATCATTTTGAATATGTGGTCGGTCGTACAAGCTTATTTTCTCCATGCCACTTGCCGGGGGGCAAAAAATTTTGTAATCTGCCGCCACACATGTTCACTGATGTGTTCCTCGTTTCTATTTTTACATCCTGAAATGCTTAAAACTAATATAAAATATTTTAGTTGGGTAAAGATATTTGAAACTTTTCTATGTTGAGTTTGCAAGGCACAAATATATCAGTGGGGGGTACAAATTGTTTAAAGATATATAATGAAATATTTTTCGTTAAAACTTAAATTGATATCACGTTTTTTTTAAAAATTTTATTTATTTTTGTGTGTGGATGATATGCCATGTTTATTATTTTATTTGCACTTTAAACTATATTTGACATTCATAAAAATTTGTCTGTTTCTTGGTGACCGGTTGTTTCATAATTTATTGAAGTGTTGGTACCAAAAAACAATGATCACTGATCGCTACCTCAATTATATATCACACCACTTCCTACACACAATATTAAACACGGCTAAAGGATTATTACAAAAAATCATATCTCTTAAGTCATGAATCCTTTCACCTAAAAAAAATCCAAACATAAACAACATAAACAAATCTTACTTAACAATAACTACCCTAAAAACAACATATCATCAACACAATCATACAAACACGAACCAATATACATGTCCATTCCATTCATCCATACATTATCACACAAATTAAATAAATTTCTCTCCTCAGAGTACATTAAAATTGCTTTTAAAAACCATAAAACAATACACACACTTTTTTCCAAAATCAAAGACCCAACACCAACAGTCTACAAATCCGATGTAAGTCATAAAATTAATTGTATGAACTGTCCAGCTACATACGTTGGAATTACATCGCAATATCTAAAAAAACGGAAAAAACATATTTATGTAAAACACCAAAAACCAATCCCACAGCATTGGTCACACACCACTTTGAAAAACAACTCAACTTTGATTTCGTCAAAATACAAATACTAAACACGTAAATAAACAAATACAAACGCAACCTTTTAGAAATGACAAAGTTAGTGTCACGAGCGGGATTCGAACTCACGACCTTCAGCTAAATACGCCGCTGCTATAACCACTTGAGCTATCGTGACTTCGATCCACTCGGACACCAACTCCCCATCTCAACCTACTATCTTTCGAATTTTCCCTCTTTTTGCCGTTTTTCAAATGTTGGTGTCTCTGTCAGAAAATTTCCATTCTCTACTTCCTTTGAGTTAAATAAATCCTCTTATGAAGAAAGAAATTTTCACAGATTTACCGCGTCCCCCACCCTGTCATAGTTACGTAAAAACAACAGAATACAAATTCACGTTTCACAACACTTTTACACACCAATATGACACCACAATAACACCACACTTTATGTGAGTATGAAATACTTGGTTCAAAATTTATATTTACATCTTAAATTGTATTGTTCCAATCACTATATGTTTTGTAATTTACCCAGAAGATGGCCCGAATAAAGGTCGAAACGTCGGCCAAAAATAAAAAAAGATGTTTTTCTGATCTACCTCATTCTCGACCTCTCCTCACGATTTCAACAAATTAATTGTTAAAAAATTATAAATCGGTTTAAAAAAATCAACACAATTCAAATGTAATTTTTTGTAACTAAGTACTTTAAAAGATTTATCGCATATCATTTAAATTTGCATATTTACCTCTACCTTCTT